GTTCCCGGCGCACCACAGGTGGCGGTATCGCAGCGGCGCTTCGGGCGGAAGCAGTGCAGTGAAGATGGCGGGACTTCTGGGGCGGATGCACCAGGCCTTGCGTCTGAGTTTCCCTGTCTGTCGAGCGCGCGCTGCTGTATGTCAGCTGGTTGTGGTTTATCTCGCTCTCGGGCACGATCCAAAAGTATTGGCGCAGGCGGTGGAGAGGATTTCAAAAAGATACCCTAAAGCAGTAGGCCCGTTAGGTGGCGAGATCGCGAGGGCGGCTCGTCAAGGTGATCTGGCAGCATTGATCCGGCTCGAACTTGCCCAAAGGAAAAGTGGGGAAAATAGGAAAAGTGGGGGGGCCGGGGGTTGGGAAGGGAAACGCGCCAGAGAAGAGAGTTGCGAAGCCGGGCGAAATTGTGTCGTGGGACCCCTGTACCTAAGGGGAGCACTTGTTCATCGGCCAACTAATCTCATGACAGTGATGTGTGCTATGGACGGATGGGGCAAACATTGAGTGAACAGCCCGGCTCTGGTTTCCAGTTTGCTCAAAACCCTAAGGCTTGGGATTCTAGTTTGCTCAATACCCAAAGGCCTGGAGTTCTAGTTTGCTCAATACCCCAAGGCCTTTCAAATGACGTGCGCAACGAGCAAGACTGTGGGGTAGTCTGTTATATCATGGATCGTTTGCCTCTGGGGGGATTCGCTCTCTTAGGGGGGAGGGCGACCGTGCCATCCGAGCCGGCGGGCGCGTGCCTCCTCGTCGACGTCACGGCTATGGTTGCTATCGTCTCCGCCGCCGTTTGGTCGTCGTCGTCGTCGTCGTTGCCGTCGCCTGGGCAAGATGAGCCCCCGCTGCCAAAGACCAAAAGCATGGTGCACGAATTCATTAGATAAGCCGTTGGACGGCGATCTAGACTAGGCCAAAGAATCTCTAGGAAAGGAAGGCGTCATCGAGATGGGCGGCCACACAAAGAGAAAGAGGCGTAGGAAGTAGGATCGGTAGGAGAAAGAGCTGCAACGACCCCAGTGGGCATCCCCTGCTCAACTGCCGGGGGCGTGGGGGGCGGCCGTGGCAGCCGGCAGCGAATGCCACAAAAGAAGTTTAGGTCAGAAGAAGCGAAGTATTAGAGATAGTAGGCAACAATTCGTTTAATTCGGAAGGAAGGCGCAACGGGTGAAGTGTAATTAGGTGCATGCCCAGAATTCCCAGGACGACGTGAGGGGTGAGGGAGCGGCTTTTGCTCGTGGGAGAGAGGGAAAGGGTAGAGGGAGAGAGCGACATGTAGGAGTGTTCTGGAATGGAGGAACGATATTTGCCATGGGAAAGGGCATGTCAATCTTGTGTTGTTCCCTCTTGGCTCTCGGCGGAAGTTGGCTGAAGCAGCGGATGCTAGGTGAACAATCCCACTAAGTGGGATAACGGTTTCGGCAGCTATCAGTAGCATGGGCTATAGGCGTGGCAGCAGGACACTGATACGTTTAGGCAGAAGTAGAATCGAGATTGGTCAACTAAACACTCATGTGTAATCCTCAAGTGTGTTCTTTCTTTTTCCCTCCTGGTCGTGTGTGGGGGGGCTGCGTCGGGGGCTCGCCTGGGGCCCACCCCTGGGGCCGCCCGTGCGCGCCCCGCGCGCCTGGTGGGTGCGCCGAGGTTTCGCCCGCGCGCCGGTGGCCGGCCCGTGGGCGCCCGGTGGGCGCCTCGTGCGCTGGGTGGGCGGTGGGCGCCCCGCGGTCGGCCGCATGCCTTGCACCACACATCTCCTCCTCCTCCTCCTCCTCCTCCTCCTCCTCCTCCTCCTCCTCCTCCTCCTCCTCCTCCTCCTCCTCCTCCCCCCCCCACCCCCTCCCTCCCCCCCCCCCACCCTCCTCCCCCTTCTTCCTGCTCCTCCTCCTCCTCTCCTCTCCTCCTCTCCTCCTCCTCCTCCTCCTCCTCCTACCCCTCCCCCCTCCCCCACCCCCCCCCCTCCTCCCTCCGCCTCCCCCCCTCTTCCTGCTCCTCCTGCCTCCTCCTCCTCCCCCTCCTCCCTCCCTCCTCCTCCTCCTCCTCCTCCTCTCCTCCTCCTCCTCCCCCCCCTCCCCCCTCCCCCACCCCACCCCCTCCTCCTCCGCCCCCCCTCTTCCCTGCTCCTCCTCCTCCTCCTCCTCCTCCTCCTCCTCCTCCTCCTCCTGCATGGATTCTCCTCCTCCTCCTCCTCCTCCTCCTCCTCCTCCTCCTGCATGGATTGGCGATCCATCGATGTGGCGCGCGATCGCCCAATCCATGGATCGGGGGAGATGCCCTCCCCAAAATGCGGGCGGTGCCGCCTCGCTCGGCAGGAAATCAGCGATTTCCCATGACCCGCCGCTAATCCACGCCCCCTTAATCCAGGTTTGCGATCGCCTGAACATGGCGTGCACGCGGCAGGTTGCACAGTGTAGGTTGCACCACGCAGCCTGCATCACACAGCTTCGACCCCACAGCTGTGGCCACGCAGCTTCCACCACACAGTTTGCATCAGTGCACCGCGCAGCTTGCACCAGGCACCTGGGAGGGGGAGGCGCGTAAAACCGCTGCCAGCGGGGGTCCAGTCCACAGCCCCGCTGCCTGAAATCTAGATGCCCTGGGCGAGATCGAGGCCTCTGGGGGTGAAGAACTGACCCCCAATGGCCTCCTTCCCACTCCTCCCTCCTCCTACTTCTCCCCCTCCCCCTCCCCCTCCCTCCTCCCTCCTCCCTCCTCCCTTCTCCCTTCTCCCTTCCTCCTCGCGCCGTCCTCTTCCTCCATGCCGCCCCCCCCACCACCCTGCCCCCGTGGTCCTGCCCTCTCCCGACGGACGACGGACGACGGACGCCGAACGACGGACGCCGCCGCCGCCGACGACGCCGACGCCGACGCCGACGCCGACGCCGACGACGCCGACGCCGACGGCGACGACGACGGCGAGGACGACGACGACGCCGCCGACGCCGCCGACGGCGACGACGACGACGACGGCGGTGGCGATGGGCGGCCGAGGATCGAGGCCGCCGCCGCCGCCGATCGACGACCGAAGACCGACGACGACGAGGACGGACGACGACCGACGACCGAAGACCGACGACGACGAGGACGGACGACCACCACCGCCAACGACCGCCCCGACGACCGACGACGAAGACGCACGGACGGACGACCGACGGCCGATGGCCGCCGGCCGACGACCGACGGGGCCTTCGCTTTCTGTCCCTCCGCGAGGCGCTGGCGACCGCGGCCCGCCGAGGCGCGCTGCTCGGGCGGCGAGGGGACTTACGCCGCGCCCCTTGCCGCTGGAGGCCGCCGCGCCGGGCGCCAGGGAGCGAGAGGGAACCGAGGGGGGGGGGAAGGGGGGAGAGGGGGGAGGAGAAGGGAAGAGGGAGGAAGAGGCAGGAGCAGGGGGGGAGGAGCAAGAGGAGAATGAGGGGGGAGGAGGAGGAGGAGGAGGAGGAGGAGGAGGAGGAGGAGGAGGAGGAGGAGGAGGAGGAGGAGGAGGGGGAAGCTTTGGAGACACCTCGAGGCGTCTGGGTGCAACCCACGGGTCGGGCGGACCTCGCGAAGCGTCCTGGCGGGACGTTCTTTTGGTTGAAAGGCGTGTGCGTCGAGGAGGACCGAACATCGTGATTCGAGGATCGAGGGTCGATGTGCGAGGGTCCAGGATCGGACCGCTTCAGAGGTCTTTCCGGGCCTCTGGCAAGCTTCTCGACGCCACAGCTGGACACCCCTCGAAATTCTGGCCAGAACGATCCCCTGGAGATGTCCAAGGGCTGATCTTCTTCGGGTAGGAGGAGGAGAAAGATGAGGAGGAGGAATGAGGAGGAGAAGGAGGAAGAGGAGGAGAAGGAGGAGGAGGAGGAGGAGGGGGAAGGCTGGAGCAAAAGGAGGAGGGATGAGGAGGATAATAAGAGGGAGGACGAGGAGGGTAATGGAGGATGATGAGGAAGAGGCGTGCCTTGCGGTGACGTGTTTATGATGCTGTCAAGCACGGTGACCATGGCAGCGGGTGCTCTGCAGCTACACGGCGTCAGCAACACGTGGGGCCAACTGGGTGGAGGGTCGCGGCAAGCTTGACCATCGAGCGAGCATGCCAACGATAGGCGTGGGCAAGAATAAGGGGAAACGCCAACGTCCAACGATCCCCCCTGTTGGGGGGGGACCCGATGTGAGCGCGATTGAAAAGGGCCACGGCGCTCTCCGACAACGGGCGCCCGCTTAGACATTCACGCTGCTCCCTTCTCGGCCTGGCGCGACGGAGATCGGCCGTTGCTTCGGCCCCCTCCCGAGCTGGGAGGGGGACGGTGCTGCGCGCTGGCCCGCGGAGCCCGGGATCCGTGCTCCCGCCCTGCCGCCGCACGCGCGCCCAGCGCGGGGAGTGACGCGGTGCAGTGGCAGTCGCCGCGACGGGGGAGAGGAGCAGCAGGGCGGGAGGAGCAGGGGCGAGCGAGGGGGGGGGAAGAGAGGAGGAGAAGGCCTGCTCGGAATGCTCGAAGTCCCCCGGCCTCCCGAGAAGTTTCCCGAGCCTCCCCCGAAGACGCAAGAACACAAACGCCTCTCAGAAGGCGCGAGGGCTTCTGAGCAGTCCCGCCGCCTTCTCCTTCTCACTTCCTTCAGGTCGGGCGTGTCCTCCTACAGGTGGGCTTTGGACGAAAATGAGAAAATAGCCAAGACATGTCCAAACATAGTCAAAACATGGTCGAAAGATCGTCCCCAGACTATCTTCTTAAACTACTTTTGAATGTTCCTCCTGGGGAACATGCCCGACCGAGAACCTCCGCCCCTCGCTCACCGCTGAGGGCAGGAGCGCGAGCGGGAGGAGGGGCGGGCAGCCGCGTCCGCGCGTCCATCCGCGAGGACGCCGACTGTCCACCCACGCGCTGACGTTGGCCGGGCCCATCCTGGGGCCCAGGACCAGTGCGTGCGCATCCCTGGCGCAGCCAAGGGCGCATGCACGGGTCCTGGGGCCCAGGCTGAGCCTGACCAGGATCGGCGGATGTGCAGGTGCACAGCTGGCATCCCCCGCTCATCTTCTCTGCTTCCTGCGCCCCCCTCCGGCGGCGTCGGCCCCTTCGTCGCCGTCCGCGGCCGCCTTCCTCTTGACAGACACTGAGCCTTTGGGCACCGTCTGCCCGCCCAGCGCTTCCCGCAGCTCCTGAGGAGGCGCGAAGGTGGAGCCGCTGGCAGCGGGAGCAGGAACGCACGGCACCCTGGGAGTGCGGGCGCCCTGGGACATCACGACTGGCGGTTCTGGCCCACCTCGGGCCCACGAGCCCTCGCGGAGCGATCCAGCTGGCGACAACCCGCGCGAAGATGGGGCCGGGAGCTCTTCTGCTGTCGGCCCTCGGCGACGTCGTCGGCGGCGTCGGCGTCGGCGTCGGCGTCGGCCTCGACATCGGCGTCGTCGTCGTCCGTCGTCCGTCGTCCGTCGTCCGTCGTCCGTCGTCCGTCGTCCGTCGTCCGTCGTCCGTCGTCCGTCGTCCGTCGTCCGTCGTCCGTCGTCCGTCGTCGTCGTCGTCGTCGTCGTCGTCGTCGTCGTCGTCGTCGTCGTCGTCGTCCGAGCAGAAGCAGTCCTGCTCGCCAGGGGCGACAGCGAACTCGTCGCTGAGCGAGGCCAGGAGCTCCTGCTTGGCGCCGTCCAGCTTCTTCTTCACTTTCCCGGCGGCGGCGTTCTGGTCGGCCTTCAGCGACTCCCTGACGAACTCGCCACCAGCCATGACCTCGCCGGACTTCAGCCTCCTCTTCGCCTCGCCGCCCTCCTCCTCCTCGACCTGTTTCTCGAGGAGCGATCTGCAGTGGTTCGCCAGCTTGTGCATGGCCTTGTTGAAGAGGGCCAGAAGCTGCGAGGCTGGCACTTTGAGCTCCTGCGACAGCCGATCGAACGTTTTGTGCTGGCAGCCAACAGCGACGAGGATGGCGCACTGCAGCATCGACAGGCGAACCTCGGGGATCCGCCTGCCGAGGAACAGCTTCGCCAAGGTGGGAACAATGTCGAGCACGAGGGCGTACTCTACGAGGTTTTTACCGTACTGCTCGAGACGGTGGAGGTCGTCGTGCGACAAGAACTGCAGAAGAGACGACGCCGTCAGCGGCGCCTGGCACTCGATGGAGTCCGCCGCCGCAGCCTGGTCGGAGGGCGCAGCCTGACTCGCGGGGGAGTCCGTGAGCGGGTCGACAACGGAGAGTGCCAGACGCGTGGGGTGCTCCCGGAAAGGGCCCTGCAGTAGCCGTAGGAATCGCAGGCGGAAGTCCGACACGAAGCTCTCAACGACGGGCGCCGCCAGCGACTGGCCCTCTAGCGGGTTCAGGCACCGCAGCAAGATGGACGAGTGCTCGCCCGTGGCGGCGTGCGGCTGCTGGCGGATGTATGCGGGTCGGAAGCTCGCCTTGCGCCAAAACTCGTGCAACTCGTGGGTGAGGCCGAAGGACGTCCCGACGTAGTCGAGCTTGTAAGGCGGAGGAATCTCCGCTACCGCCTCCAGCAACGGCGGCACCTTCCGCGGCTCGATCTGCTCCTCCAGCAGCACGGCCGCCTCCGCCTCCTCCGCCTTCGCCTTCTTGCTGCGCTTCGCCCCCGCGCCGTCGCCGAACGAGGCTCCGGCCCGAGACCGCTGCTCGAACCAGGCGAGCAGCTGCCTCAGCGCCTCCGAGGCGTAGCCCTTCCGCTGCAGCGCGGGGTGCGTCGCGATGCGGACGATGCGGGCGCCAGACAGCTGCCCGAAGCCGTCGTGCAGGAAGTGCTGCGTGAGCGTCCACGGGATCAGGTCGCCCGACGGCCGCAGGCCCCGCTTCAGGGAGGCGCGCACGGACTCCTTGGACAGCGCGCCCTCCATGCAGACCTGGATCGCGACCATTACCTCCGGCAGCTCGGCCTGCCCCGACGAGGCGTCGATCGGCGGCAGCATCACGAGCAGGTGGTGGGCGGGAGCGTCTGCCATGAGGAGCATATCGTTGGGAGAGTTTTTGTAGTGGCTCGAGACGAACAGCGACATCATCTTGAAGAGAAATCGCTCCGATGCCTCGTGGTGTGAGAACAAGGCGTCGCGATTCACGAGGAACAGCCCGCACTGGGAAGGCACCGGCAGGGACGAGAGCGACAGGGTCGGCACCTGTGCCGCGTCCAAGCAGAGCAGCCTGCTGAGCCAGGCCTCGATCTGGTCGCCCATGGCGTAACGGATGGGCTCCTCGAGCGCGAGCTCCTTCTGTTTTTTGTCTTTGTATTGTTTTCTTGCTCTTTTCTTTTTTTCTCTTTCCTTCTCTCTCTCTTTCTTTCATTTGTTTGTTGTTTCTCTCTCGCTCTCTCTCTCTCTGGTAATGTGAATGCTCCCGATTCACGGGCGCTCCCAGGTGCTGCCGGGCGTTCTCGCGCGCTGGCGGGAACCCCCGCGTGACTTTTTTCGGAGGCCTCGGGAGTGGTCTTGAACCTCGAACGTGCGCTAAGATGGTCTCAGGAGCCTGTGCTGGCAATCTCCTGGGGGCCTCTTGAGCCGTCTTGGAGCCCCTGGGGGTGGGCCCACAAGGCCAACATCATCGAACCACCTTCGTCATGCTTTGTGTGCTTTGTGATGCTCGGGTCTTCTGTCTCAAGGGCACCCAGGACGGGCCAAGAGTCCCTTGAGATCGCCCCAGGACGAAACCGAAGGTCCCCAAGAGGGGCCCAAGATGTCCCCAAGACGGCACCAACAAGGCGTTGGGTACGAACTGAAATTTGAAGCCCGCCACGTCAATGTGTAGGCGCTCTCGATAGCAGATCATCATTTCGATTTTGAAACTGGTTCGCAACGTTGTGTGGGGGGCTCCTGGAGGAGTGGGTGCAGGAGAATCAATAGGACCCAGAACATGATGGGAAAGGTCTTCTCCCCTCTCCCCTCTTCTCCAACCCTCTCCATTGCTCATGTTTCTCCTCTCGCCGCTCTCTTCTCTTCCGTGTCTCCCACCCGGGTCCCCCCCCCTTCCCTTCGCCTCTCTTCTCCCTCCTCCTACTTTTCGCTTTTCAGAATCACCCTCCTTGCGTCATTTACCATCTCCTGGACTCGTCGTCATCCAGCTCCTCCGTCTCCTCCTTGATTCGTCCCCCGTCTCCTCCGTCTCCGCTTCCGTCATTTCCCCTCTCCTTGAATCAGTCGCCTCCTCCTCCTCCTGCTCCTCCTCCTCCTTCTCCTCCTCCTCCCCCTCATCTATCTCATCCTCCTGTCCCTCGGTCCTCCCTCCTCTCCTCCCTTACCACGCGTCCTCTTTCACCGCGTTGTCGCCCCTCCTTCCCTCTGCTGCTCCCCTGCTGCGCGCCCCACTTCTGCCCATTTATACCCGCGCCTCTTCATCCTCCAACTCTCCAGGAGGAGGGAGGAGCAAGCACACCAGAAAATGAAGGGACGAAGGAGGAAAGGACCCCTCTGTGTCCTTCAGGGTGCGCTCCGTCCCCGCGCGGCCAACTGACTTGCCCTGCCGGAGGTCCTCTATGAGCTTGAGCGACAGCGCGCGGCCGGTGCCCTCGTATCCTAGGCTCGGGCGGCGACGACGACAGCGTCCGCCATCCTCTCATCTCCTCCCCCTCCTCCTCCTCCTCCTCCTCCTCCCTCCTCCTCCTCCCTCCTCCTCCTCTCCTCCCTCCCTCCCTCCTCCTCCTCCTCCTCCTCCTCTCCTCCTCCCCTCCTCCCCTCCCTCCTCCTCTCCTCCTCCTCTCCTCCTCCCCTCGCCTCCTCCTCCTCCTCCTCCTCCCCTGCTCCCTCCTCCTCCTCTCTCTCCCTGATTCCTCCTCACCCATCCTCCTGCTCCTCCTCCTCTTTCCCCCCTCCTCTCCTCCCTCCTCCTCCTCCTCCTCCTCCTCCTCCTCTTCATCTCTCTTCTCCTCTTCTCATCCTCCTCCTGCTCCTCCTCCTCCCCCCCTCCTCCTCCTCCTCCTCCTCCTCCTCCTCCTCCTCCTCCTCCTTCGGACTCTCCAGTGCCCGGAGGCCTCATGGATGATGTTTCGTGTCAGTGGGTAGGAAGCCTGGCTAAGTATGTTTGGGTTGCCTTTGATGCTGTCACGGCTTTCGCTGGCTATACCCGCCAGCTTGGGTTTCTGTTGCAGTCCTCCGAGTCCAGGTATCTTGCGTCCTCGACGGAAGCAGCTCGTGCTGTGAAGTCGAGTGTGGCCAGGCTGAAGCTCCAGACGTTTCGGACGGCGCGGAATCTTGGCCACAACACCTTTGCTGGAGGCACCGCCCACAAAGCTCTTGAGAGGAAGACGTTTGGGGCGGTGCTTGGGAGGCGGGGCCGGCGTCGCGCCCTTAGGAGGGCTGGGGGTCTGAAGATCCAGGTTCTGTGGCGCACGGGGGTTGTGCCGTCGGGTAGCCATGGGGCTGGTATAGTAGGCCTCACTGACTCCATTCTCATGGAACTCCGTTCTTTCGCAGGGGAGCTAGTAGGCGCTAGGCGTGGCCTGGCCTCCCGCACAGTTTACACGTGCTCGCAGAAGGACATGCTATATGATCCCGCTTTTGCTGCCACATGCCCCCTTGTCGCCAAGTATGCGTGTTGGCTCTGGGATCGTAGGACTTCCCCTAGTATGTTGATGAGGACTTGGAACTCAATCCAGGATAAGCTCGGAGCCCGGGGAACCTGGAGGCAATGCTTTGGGCCGATTTCTGTTGTGTTTCTCTCCCTTCGCAGGATTGGGTGGGACATGGCTGCTCCATACATTCTCACCTTCGAACTCGGAGACCATATCTCTCTGCATGAGTATGTATTCGCCGAATGAGGTCCGCGATTTGTTGCGCGATGGTGTGGAGCGTTGACTCTGGCGAAGGGTTCCCTTCCACTGGCCAGAAGCGACGGGCTCCAAGTACTGTTAGGCTCGAGCGATGCGCCTCGCGATTCTGGCCCTCCCCGCGGGTGGCCGGCGGGAGTCGCTCCGTGCGCTCTGGTCTGGAGGGTTGTGGCCACCAGCTCGCTAGCATGCGGCTGGGTTGGCCCCGTCTGCTGCTTGCACTTTCTGCCAAGGCGGGCAGCTTGGGTTTTCCCGAAGATGCTTGGGCGCGTAGGCAGGCCTTGCGGGAGAAAAGGTACGATGTCAACGTCGGTCCTTCTGACTGGGATCGCGTTCCTCTCCTCTACTGGCTTCCCTCGCTCCCCATCCAACTGCCCCGTCCCTTGGCTCGGCCGCCGGTGCTCACCTGGGGTCTCGCGGACGGTCCCTGGGGCGAGTATAGGGTTCACTAACGGGTCGGGGCTACACAGTGCGGTGCCCGAAGCCACTCGATGCGGCTGGAGCGTTGTCGAGATCTCCAAGGACGGCTGGCCTTTGAGAGCCGGGTTTGTCAGGCTCCCGGGGCGCTTCCAGTCGGTCCCGCGGTCCGAAAGGTGGTCTGGGCTCGATGCTGTTTCCCTGGGGCCTGCTGGAGACCAGCCTCCCTCATAATTAGTGATCGCCTTTCGTTTACGAGGGGCAAGATTGGGATCCCAATCTGAAGCACGGCCTTGCCCCGCACGCGTCGATTTGGCAAAACATATTTCGTGCTTGTGCTAGCCATGCTATGCGCCCCGAGTTCTTCCACTGGACTCCTGCGCACCTCTGTTTCGAAGGGTTAATTGATCAAGGAGCGTGTGCTGGCGAAATTTGGAGGTTCATGGGTAATGCATGGGCTGGTTTCTTCGCCAAACTTGGAGCCCTTGATGTTGCCGTTGCCGACGTTGCGGCCACGTCCCTCCAGGGGGCCATTAAAGAGTGCAAGTGGTCATGCCAACTTCTGGCCCGAGCGGTCCAGAGGATTTGTGCTCGGCCAAAATGTTTCTGGTGCTGCCCCAGCCCCTCCACAGCCGCCCAAGGAGGAAAGGCCGAGGCTGGCAATTGTCGCTCACGATATCGTGCCCCTTGCTCCTGGATCCTCGGCGTTGCAAGGCAGGCTCTGTGTGGCGGTTGTTCGGACACCAGCCAGTGTCAAGTCTTTGCGCAAGCCAAGGGCTAGGTTTCTGTTTCCCCCATCGCACTTGAGGACCACATCCACCAACAAAAATTCGAGCACCCGGAAAAGTGTCGAAAGAGTGTCGAGACAGTGTCGAAGCAGTGTCGGACGAATGTCTCCCAGGGCCCGACACGTGAAAACCCACGAGCTGTTGGTACTACTTTCTGGTGCTTGAGATTCTTTCTGGCGATCAAGGCTAAAGTAGGTTGGAACATCATAAGGCTCGGTGTGAGCCCGGGCCGATGCTGCGCCAGCTTGCCGCTCCTGCCGAGCGGCTCGGCCGGTGCCAGCCTGCCGAGGGGGAGGGTGAGGCTGCCTATGCCGCTGCTGCTGCCGTTCTGGGTGGGAGTCTGCTCGTGTGCGACGAGCCCCACATTCACAGTGGCAGGGTAGTTCCTGTTCTGTGGGCTTTGCGGGGCCCGAGTTGCCCTGGGCCTCGGCTAAGACCGAGGCCCTCGGTGACCCCTGCCCCACGAAGCCCCCCCAACCCTGCCCGCCGGCGAGCCAGGGACTGGCTCTCTGAAGGCAAGCATCCGACAACAGGGATCAGGCTCGTCCAGTCTAATCCATAAGTTGTTTGGTATTATCTGAGGGCTGGTGTTTTATCACATCGTCGCGTTCTCGGGTGCTTCGCCGTTCTCTGCTGCGTTCTCCGTCCTCCTCCTTAGCCATCAGCAACATCCTCCTCGTCTTCTTCTTCTTCTCCTCCTCCTCCTCCTCCTCCTCGTCGCTGTCGCCGTCGTTCTACTCCATGTCCTCCTCCATCTCCATCTCGTTTCCTCATCCTTCCTTGTCGTCCTGATCCTCCTCCGTCCTCATCCTCAGCGTCGTCGGCCTTCTCCGCATCCTAGTCCTGCTGTTCTTTCTCCCCCCTCTCCTTCTTGTCCTCCCCCTATCGTCGTCGTTCTCCTCCCCTTCCTCTCCGTGGTACTCCAAGAGGCGACAGGAAGGAGGGGAAGGAAAACCCAACCAATCACTAGGAATGAACCCTCTTCCCCAGAACATTGGCGCAACATCGAAATCGGCAGGGGCCTCATGCCACAGGTGCTGTGTCAGTCACCCGGGCGCTGTCACGACTGACGTGGGGAGGAGGAGGAGGAGAAGGAAGAAGAGGAGGAGGAAGAGGAAAAGGAGGAGGAGGGGGAGGAGGAGAAGGAGGAGGAGGAGGAGGAGGAGGAATAGGAGGAGGAGGAGGAGGAGGAGGAGGAGGAGGAGGAGGAGGTGGCAGAGGAGGAGGAGGAGGGAGGAGGAGGAGGAATAGGAGGAGGAGGAGGAGGAGGAGGTGGAGAGGAGGAGGAGAAGGAGGGGGAGGAGGAGGAAAAGGAGGAGGAGGAGGAGGTGGAGGAGGAGGAGGAGGAGGAGGAGGAGGAGGAGGACGGGGGATACTCGACTACGCGCAGGAGTGCGCCCAGGCAAGGGCGACCATTGGCGCGCGGACTTCGGGGGCCGCGGGTGGGCCAAATCCAAGCGCGCTGGCCGAGGGGGTCCGGGGAATCCTGTGAGCCCACGCAAAAAAAAAAAACTCCACACTCCTACGCGTAGCCCAAGGGGGGGGCGGGAGGAGGAACATGTCTGGGAGGAGGGGGGAAAGGAGGAGGAGGAGGAGGAGGAGGAGGAGGAGGAGGAGGAGGGGGAGGAGGAGGAGGAAAAGGAGGAGGAGGGGGAGGAGGAGAAGGAGGAGGAAGAGGAGGAGGAGGAGGAGGAGGAGGAGGAGGAGGAAGAGGAGAAGGAGGAAGAGGAGGAGGAGGAGGAGGAGGAGGAGGAGGAGGAGGAGGAGGAGGAGGAGGAGGAGGAGGAGGGGGAGGACAATCGGAGGAGGAGGAGGAGGAGGAGGAGGAGGAGAAGGGGGAGGAGGAAGAGGAGGAGGAGGAGGAAAAGCAGGATCATGCCAGAGCGTATCGGAGAGCGCGCCCAGGTGCGACCAGAACCGCGGGAGCGAGCCTCGCCACGATGAGGAAGAAGACGGAGGCGCTCGCAGGAGCGGGTCGTCATGGGCACCTCAAGCAAGCGCCACGCCGCCGACCCTGACATGAAAGTCAGTCCGACGGGCAATAATCGAAGCCGTCCTGTGACGGGCCTAGAGCGTCGGCTGCTACTATTTTAGATCTGCTGCACGAGGGGCTCGCAGAAACAGAACTCCAACCTCGCACCCTGCAGCGTCGCTCGGGCGCCTGCCGCGCGCTGCGAGGAAGATGGGGATCTCCCGCGAGCGCCCGAGGGCCGCCCTCCTCCGCCTCCCCGGCGGCGGCGACGCCGAGGCCAGGGTCAAAGGGGGAGGCGTCGATGCAGGGGGGCGCGCGCTTGGGCAAGGCGGCGTCGCCCACCTCCGTGGCGCGAGCCACGTCCGCCGTGGGGGGAGCATTGGGGTGGCGAAGAGCCGCCCGAGGAACAGCCGCGCCCGAGGAGGCGCTTCCGACGCGCTAGCACCTGCGAGACTATCGTCCGTCTCGGCGTGGGGCCCGTCGTCTCCGCCGAAAACCGCTCGTGCGGTCGCCATCGCAAACGTCGGGGTGATCTCGTCTTCGTCGCCGAGGGCCAACGGGCTCTTCAAGCGGAAGAGCGCCCGCGCGAACGGCGCGATAGGGTTCGCCTGCTCAGCTTGCCCGTGCTGTCCGCGCAGCGCGGGGCATCCCCGGTCGTGCGACTGTTCCGCCACCTTCCCGTCCTCGTCCTCGGGCCCATCGTGCGACGGCCAGCACCAGCAGCACCACGAGGAAGTACACCAGCATCTGGACGAACGTCGGCGTCGTCGCCAGCGCGAAGCACACTACCCGGACGAGGAAGGCCCTCGCCAGGATGGGGGGGGGTGGCCAGCGGCAGCCTCCTGGGGTGCTCCAGCGGGGAAGGGCGAGGCGTCCACGCGCTGGGCCTCCGCGTCCAGCTGCACGCCGACGGTCGGCGTGGTTCCGCACGAGGTGGCCTCAGCGCCGCCTCTGCCGAGCCCGGGGCCTGCAGAGGCCCGCGCGTTGTCCGCCGCGGACGCGTGGGCGAATCCGCCTGGCGGGACGCCGCGCTGAGCGCGCCACGCGGCGTTCCGGCGGTGGCGGCGGGAGCCAGGGACAGCGCGTCCCTGGGCAAGCAGCACCAGCGCTGGCCTCGCCGCCAGCTCGCGGTCCTTCCTGGAGCCAGGCTCGCCGCGAGCCTGCGCGAGGGGCTGGATGGCAGCCTCGCAGGCGGCTCGGCGCCGCTGGCTCGTCGCACGACGGGCGGCGGTGTCGCCGAGCGCGGCGATGTCGCGCCACCTGGACTCCGAAGGCCGCCACGCTCTCGGGCCGCCCCCTGTCACCACTCCCGCTGGGCCCAAAGTTCCGCCCCCCCTCCCTCACGCCCGCCGCGTTGCCCCGTGAATCTGGCGTCGCAGGGTACGCCGAGGAAGAATCCAGGAGCGGGGGGCCTGTACGGGAAAGCCTGAGGAGGAGGATGAGGAGGAGGAGGAGGAGGAGAAGGAGGAGGAGGAGGAGGAGGAGGAGGGAGCAGGAGGAGGAGGAGGAGGAGCAGCAGAGGAGGAGGAGGAGCAGGAGCAGGAGCAGCAGGAGCAGGAGGAGGAGGAGGAGGAGGAGGAGGAGGAGGAGGAGGAGGAGGAGGAGGAGGTTGGGGAGGTGGGGGAGAGCAGGCCGCCAGAGGGACGTCGGAGGACGTCGGCGGCCCTCGGCGGCCGTCGGCGGCCCTCGGCGGGCCACGGCGGGCCGCGGCCGCGCCCGGGCCCGCGGCCATTGACGGTCGACGAGAGCAGCACCAGGTAGGGACCTCGGCGCGCGCTCGCGGCGGCGGGCCGCGGGGGAGGGGCGGCCGCCGGCCCCCACGCTTTGTTTGTGTTCTTTTTTTGGGGGGGGGGGGGAGGTTGTTTCACCTGCGCGAGGAGTCGCCCCGTGGCTTCGGAGAGGAGGAGGGCAGCCGCGGGAGGAGGGGGAGGAAGGGGGAAAGCAGCAGCAGAAGCAGCAGCGCAGCGCGGCCCAGCCACGCCTCAGAGGCCGCTGGCCCCCACGCTCGCGCGTCGGCACGAAGAGGAGGGGTTTGCTGAGGTAGTGGTCGATCAGACTTCTGTGCGAGGCTGTCGTGTTCCACGCGCTTGGGGACTCTTTGCAGCTCTCCCAGGTCTCCTGGGGGACTTCTCGTCGTCGCGGTTGGCTTCCCTCCCATACTCTGATCAAGAAACACCCCAGGGCAAGTCCGGGACGTGACCCCGAGCCTCCGAGAATGAAGAAAAACGGGTCTTGATGGAACTGGGTTCTGAAGTTTGTCGCCGCGGGCCCTAGGACCTTTCAACACATGGGTCGGGGTGAGAGGCCAAGCCTGGGGATCACCGAGAATTTCTAGGACCGCCTTCCCGCATGACCATGGACGTCGACAGCGCCACCATCATGAGCCGACAGCGGAATCGAAAGAAACCGACAGATCGAAAGCAGCCTGTAAGGCCGCAGCGACGTAACAACCAATGGAGCCGAACCGACCGCATGCAGCCGACTGCGATGCAGCCGACGGAATCGAGTCGTGGACATTTCCGAGGAGCCCTTCTCCCCCCAGTCCGCGTAGATGGTGTCCGAAGATCGCGCTGCATCGCCGATGCATCGGTGACTTCGGCCGTGCATCGGCGCCCACGGCGTGGAGCATCGGGCTCCGCACCGAGCCGCCTCGACGATGCGGCGCGATCCCCCGACCCCACACGCTCGGACCCCACCAGGGAGGCCGAGATCCTCCCACGGCGTGCGCACGCCGTGCCTGCTCGCGTGCGCACCACCGCGCCCAGGCCGCCCGGCCCCGCGCCCCACGGGGGCGCCACGCTCCCTTCGCGCCCCCGCCGAGCGAGGGGGCAGCAGCCTCGCCCGGGCCCGGCGGGGCGAGGCGCGGGGCGCGGCGCGCACGGCGCGCGGGCCTGCGGGGCGAAGCGCGTCGTCGCTGAACGAGCCCCGAGGCCCGAAGCGCAGGGAGCCTCATGGAGTGCCCGCGCCCCCGTGGGCGCGAGGTTCTCGCTTTCCGGTCGGTGTCGCCGGTTCTCTGGTCGGCTTCCGTTGCCGCCGTTTTCGCTGACGACCACGACGACGGACTCACCACCCGCCGACGGCGGTGGGCGCCGACGGACGCCTACACCACCCGCAGAGGCACCCGCGGAGGGGGGCCGAGCATCTTCCGCACAGACTCGGGGGTGAGAAGGGAGCAGTATTCAAAGTGAGTAATGGCAGGGGCAGGAGTGCGGCGGGCGCCGAGGCGAGAACGCCCCCTTGGAACGGCCGAAGACGTCCCGAGCGGAAAACAACACATGAAACACCAACTCGCTGGCGTCCTGCGTGTGAGAAAATACGCGGAGGGGGGCGGAGCATCTTCAGCAAAGTCTCGGGGGTGATAGTAGAGTAGTCTTCACATTGTGTGATGGTGGAGGATGGAAAAAAAGAGGGTGGATACGGATGAAGGTGATGTCGTGGTCGTAGTCGCTGTCACCGGCGCCTAAACCAATTACACCAGAGATAGACCCCAATCAGTGGATGGTTTGAAAATTCGGCAGGCGCCGAAGCTTCAAAGCGGCCCTAAGTAGGGATTCCTAGTAAATCTTAGAAGGGTTGTGGCATTCTCGCCTTTTCGGGCATCTGTCGGCTCGAAATGGCTCAAGAGGTCTCCACGATAGACGATCTCGCCCAATACAGTCTGAAAACTGCCCAGCGACTGCCCGAAGAGACCGTGCTGACGGCGATGAAGGCCACAAGACGGCCCACTTGAGTCTCAAGACTGCTCCACGGGAGCCCAGGACAACCCAAGAACAGCCTGAATGAGCTCCCAGACCGATTGTGAGATCGATAAAATCGATAGTGCGATCGGATGTGAGATTGATCGGGAGATCTATAAAGAAATGGGTACTCAAATCGAGAGTGAGGTCGATCGATAAAGAGATCGACCAAGAACCCGGGAACCTAGAAACCCGGGAACCCCGCCGCCCACCGAAATCGGCCCGGAACCAGCAACCGGGAACCCAGGAACCCGGAACGGGGAACCCGGGAACGAAATCAGCCCGGAACCAGCAACCGGGAACCCAGGAACCCGGAACGGCGAAACCGGGAACCCCGCCGCCCACCGAAATCAACTGGGAACCCAGGAACCTGGAACGGGAAACCCGGGAACCCCGCCGCCCACCGAAATCGGCCAGCAACTTTCGCCAAATCTTCCAACATCTGCTAGGACCCCTTCAGTGCAAACACTGATTGGGGAAGATCCACTCAACACTCGAAACCATTCCCCGGGCGTCCCCAGGGGTCCAGCCCAGCCAGTTGATCGAGCCCCGCCTGGCCTCGGAGGACGAGGACCTCCAGAAACGCCCCCTGAACCCTGGAAACGAAGACGCCGTCGTCGTCGTCGTCGTCGCCGTCGTCATTGTTTCCATTGTCGTCGCACCGCCGCCGCGGGGCCGACCCAGCAGCTTTTTCACAACCGGCAGCGGTATGGCCGCCGCCTCGTCGACGACCACCAGCTCGGCCTGGGCCGGTGCCGACGCCACAGCGTCCCGCGCCGGGGAGCGTCTCCAAGGGGGGCGAGGAGGAGAATGACTACCTGCCAATCCACCCCAACCCAACCCGAAGACCCGAATTTCGGCTTGGGGGGGGTACGGGTTCCATATGCGTCTTCTCGGTGTTCCCCGCCCACCCCCCCCCACTGGAAATGGAGGGCAAATTGAGGCCTTCGGGCTGGGCTGGGGTGGTTTGGTGGGTGGTGAGATAAGGGATGGATGCAGGAGGAGGGCTGTAGTGTTGCGCTGATGCACGTCAGGGTCGGCATAACCATTCATGTATCGGGTGGCGCTCTTTGGCTCACCCACCCTTGTAGGTCGGTGCCAGTGAAGGTTGGGCAGTCCCACCTCGTACGGAGGGGTACAACGTACCTTCCGATTGCAACTAAACTGGCGGTTAGTATGCGTCCGCCGCATGTTTGACAACCACCTCTGCCAATTCGAACTTGGGAACGCTACATCTACATCAGACCGTGACCTAGGAAATTCGGATGATCTGTGTAGCAAGATCGAGCATAGCAGGGAAGGAATTGGATGGGGCGGTTGCTTGTCACATCGGTTTGAAGAAATAACTAGTCCCGCGCCACGGGCAAAACCTGTCCCCACTCCAACGTCACGGAGACGGTGCGTCGAATACACTATGCTACGCCATGCCGTGCCAGAATCTATCACGAAGGTGGGCTGGCACCCACAGGAGAGAGAAGGAAGAAGGTGGATCTAGTGGAAGTAGCTTGGGTCACGTGCTATGTTAAGAGTGCCGCCTGGAGGGCCGACTTCTGCGTTGTTTTCTGTGTTGCCTGAGGCGGATAAGTCGCCCCAGAAATTCGATATTGCTATGTCTACCTGGCAAGTACAGGCGTGCGGCCTGCCGCGGCGCGCACCTGTCATGGCGCGGGGCTGTCCTGTGAGATGGCCGGGGGCGAGCAGCAGCACCAGATGAAGAGGCAGGTTAGACGGAATCAAGGATAGGCCCGTGCGCCGCACGCACCCCCCCCCCTCACTCCGCGTCGACGTCTCCGCCTTCGGCGACGGCAGCGGCTGCCTTTCGGCCACCGAGGAATGAGGGAGCACAGAGGTCAGCACATCAGGGGCAGCGGCGTGGGACACGCAGGGCCTCTGTGTTTTGGTTCCTGCGATTGCTCCCGGGCCTCTAGTTTGGGACTCTGATTCTGGTGCTGGCAGGGGGCGTCGATGGCGACCAGAGGAGGGCCAGGAGGCAGGGGAGGAAACATGCCGCAAACTGGGCAACCGGAGTGGGCGAGAGCGCCGCGGTGAGGGAGAGCAACAAGACCAGGACGGGAATGCAACAGGAGGCTTACTCCCGCATTCGCATGTGAGGGGGCCAGGAAGAGGGCGTGGCGGGGGAGCGTAGGAAGGGAGGCCATGATTTGGCGGGGCAGTCGAATGGTGGGGCAGGAGGGGCCTGAGACACTGTGGGAGATGTAGGATGTGGGGGCAAAGACAAGGGGGTGTGCGCAGGACCGCAGCCATTTGCCGGCGGGCTGTCCTGGAGGTCGAACGCTCTTGTGCGGATGACTGCGTCGGCGATAGTCAACATCATCATCAGCAGCAGCAGCGTCATCAGCATCAGCATCATCCTCGTATTCCTCCTCCTCCGCCTCAACATCATCATCATCATCATCATCATCATCATCATCATCATCATCATCATCATCATCATCATCATCATCATCATCATCATCATCATCACCATCATCAATTAGCATCATCAACTTCACCAGCATCTTCAATCTCAGCATCATCAGCATCAGCAGCGTCATCAGCAGCATCATCCGCATAGTCCTCATCCTCCTCGTCATCACCAGCATCACCACCATCAGCATCAGCATCATCATACTCATCACCATCAACAACATCAACACCAACACCAACATCAACATCACCACCACCATCATCATCAACATCAACATCATCACCACCACCGTCATCACCATGACCATCACCATCATCATCATCATCATCGTCATCGCCATCATAATTATTATCATCATCATCATCAACATCATCATCATCATCACCAACGTCTGTCCCGTAACTACGCTTGCCCAGAAGGTTCGAACTGTGTGCTCAATCCCCGCGGTGCGTTGAACTCGTAGTGGAGTGCCCCACGGCTCACACAATCCCAGCAGCACTCTGGGCGTAGGGGGCTTAACGAACGTATGGTTAATCGTACTGCTTCCTCTCGCGAGAGTGGTTGACTCCTTCCCCCTCATTGCCCATCCCTTGGGTCTGGACTGGCGGGGCCGCGAGCTGTCAGAGGGTTCCTTTTCGACCCAAGATGTCTCCAAGAGGGCCTCGGATGGGCCAAGATGGCCTTGAAGATGGACCCTAATAGCCCGACCGACATTGACCCATGTGCCCTCCAAAATGCCTCCAAGAAGCCCCAAGACCACCCCAAGATGCCTCCAAATGGCCACGGAGCCGTCCAAGGAGACTCCTGAGAGGCCAAATCCTTCGACAGCACATGGTCTTCATTGATTGCTGCTTTCTCTCCGTTTCGCGTCCGATGGGCCTTTGAGGCCCAAAGACTGCCCCAAGATGGCCAAAGAGAGCCCCCAAAGAGGCCCAAGACGGCCCTGAAGATCGCCCCCCGAGGGCCTCAGGATGCGCCTTTTCGGGCTCAAGAGGGGCGCTGCTAATTCAAGCCGCTCTCTTTGACCTTCAATGGTCTGCAAGATGACCCCAAGAGGACGCGGAACGTACCCAAAAGGGTCACAAGAGAACTCCGAGAGGACACCGACGGTTTCCACAAGGGCCCCGACGGGCCTGGAAGCCGTCTCTACGAGGTTCACAGCTGCTTTGAAGCTCATCGCTGTTGGCATACTGGATGCACATGTGTGCATGCTCATCTGCATCCCGCCTCCTGGCAACTCCCCCTTGGGCATCGTTCCAAGATGGGCTCGGCTAGGCGTAAGAATGACCCTGGGTAAGAGTGACCTTTGGTGCGCAGCTTTTGGGGGCGCGAGGGAGCCAAACCCAAGGGCGCGGGCCGCTTATGTCGTATCGCGTTCGGCGATCGGGGGGAGCCCGATGATCCCGCACCAAAGGTCATTCCGGCGAAAGGTCACTCTTACGTGTAGTCGATGGGCTCGTGGGCACACGCGAAGCAACGAGCACGGCAGGACCCCGGCGCGCAAGCTTCAGCTAGGAGGCGGGTGGCCTTGGCCGACGGGTCGAGAGCCCCCCACGACGGCCAGCGAAGACGCCCAGAGGCCCCCGAGATCTCTCCACGAGGCTCCCAAGAGGCCCCTGCGAGGCTCCCAGGAGGCCCCATGGAAGCTCCAAGGGGGCCCCAGGAGACCGCACAGGGGCGTCGTTCTCCTCCTCCTCCTCCTCCTCCTCCTCCTCCTCCTCCTCCTCGTCCTCCTTCTTCTTCCCATCCTCCTCCGTCTCCTCATCTTCCTCCTCTCCCTCGTCCTCCCTCCTCCTCGTCCTAGTCCTCGTCCTCGTCCTCCTCCCCTCCTCCTCGTCCTCCTCGTCCCTCCCGTCCTCGTCCCGCCCCTGACGGTTCCACGACATGCCAACACACCACACGTGCGAGCCAATTCCGCGAAGTGGGGCCCGATGTGGCTCCCGCTCCGCGGGCTCCTTGCTGCGGGCCCTCGGTGTGCAAACTTCCGCTCAGAGGCGAGCGGCCGCGTTCGGCCCGGAGAGCGCCTGCGCCAAGTGCTGCCAGTCGTTGGGGTTGACGTACTGGATAGTCTGCCTGGGCGCGCGGAAATCCTCCTCCTCCTCCTCCTCCACCTCCCCTTCCCCCTCCTCCTCTTCCTTCTCCTCTGCTTCCCCCCTCCAGTTCCTCCTCATACGTTTCCTTCTCGTCCCCCCTCCTCCTCCTCCTCCTCCTCCTCCTCCTTCTCCTCCTCCTCCTCCTCATTCACCTCCTCCTTGTCCTCTTCCTCTTCCTCATCCTACTTTCCCCTCTCTTATGTTTCCTTCTCGTTCCACCTCCCCCTCCTTCACCTCCTCCTCTTCCTCCTCCTCCTCTTCCTCCGCCTGCGCTTCCCCCTCCTAGTTATGCCCGTGTTGATCCCTCTCTCTGCAGGTCTGCTATATACTATATATATATACATATATACACACGAGTGCGACTGTCCTCACTTCCCTGACAGTGTGCCGGCGGGCTGCTCCCACCTCCCCTGCGCACTGCTCACACGCGCAGGATTTCAAGGACTGACGTGTCTTGTGTGTTTTCGTTCGGAACGCCGTCGGTCCTTCAATCATGGCGCTCCCGCTGCAACGTTGGATCGGTGCTCGGCTCCGGTCTCCCCGACTGGCGCTCTCGCCCCAACGCGGGCCATCTGGATCAGACTCCTTGCCTTGCCGTTGTCGTCTCCTTCCGCTTCCCTCCTTCGCTTTCCCGTGACACTCGTGCTCCTGCTCCTTCTGCTCGTGCTGCTCCTCTTCCACCTCCTCCACATCCATCCGCCTCCTCCTCCTCCTCCTCCTCTTCCCATTCCTTTAACTAAAACCATCCTGCACGCTTGGCGCGCGCCGGAGTTCTAGCACGGGGCAGGGTAAGGTCATCGTACAATAGTTGTTACACGGATGAAGTGCATACGGGGCGGGGGGTCGACGCCGCACTCGCCACGGGTTATTATGCTTGATTGCGTACTCTCCTCGTGGGAATGACGAGCAACGCGAGGACGAGGAAACGGAGGAGAGAGAAGGGGTGTGGGATGAGTGGGGCGGGGGGACGAGAATGAAGCCCAGAGGATCGGGTCAAAGGCGCTGGACGCTCCCATGAAGCCCCTGTACCACGGGGGACAAAGTCGAGACGGTGCCGCCCGCCCCTGTTGTCATCCTCTTTCTTCTCGGCTATGTCCTTATGTCCTCCTCCCCTTCCTGCACTCCTGCTTCTCATCGCCCTCTTCCCAGTCCTTCCCTTCTCACAGAGCCAGAATAGCCAACCTGGATGCACACAGCATGAGGGTGCAAGCCAAGCTACACCTACTGGACACACTCTGTACGAACAAGAAGACACTAGCATTTCTCCACTTGGCCGGTCTCCCTCTCTGCCTTCATCCAACATCCGCAATCCCATGTCTTTACCACTCCATCCTCTCACTCCTCTCCTCTTTCCTGAGAGAGGGCGGCAAACATCGATGACAAAAAGATGAATTACGAGGAGGGGAAATATGAGGAGTGACAATGAAGAAAAGGAATGACGAGGGGTGTGATGAGGAGAAGGAGGAGGGGGAGGACGAGAAGGATCAGTGTAAACCCAGGACGCATCAACGATATTGCAATGTACCTTCCCGCCGACCTCCCTCTCAATAGGTCCATACAAGAACTTCTGTTCATTGCGGGGATGAGAAAACAACCGTCTGAGAATCATCCACCGCGCCGAAAGCCAATGCCTGGAACTTCAGCGCTACAAAGCAATGTGATTGTTGCGTCCTGACAATCCTGAGGGGCCCCAGAATATAATTCCTGGGACTTCAACACCTCGAATGCACGTGACTGTTGCATCCAGACAATCCTAAGTCGTACCAAAGCACCGTTCCGGAGACTTTAGCCATACGAATCTGTGAACCTGTTACAAATATTGAGGACGAATGTGCGCGACGCTGAGGCGAGAGCCACATTTTGAAAAGACACTGACGCCGCCCTCCATCCTTGAATATGATGCGCACTTTTTGACGAATGCGCGCGGCGCTAAAGCGAACATCACAATATGGACACGACCCGCCCTCCGTCCGTGCAGCTGTTACAACATTTTGAAGCGAATGTGCGCGGCGCTGAAGCGAAAACCACAATATGAAAACCATCCGCCCTCAATCCGCCAAGCTGTTGCAGACTTCAAAACGAGTGTGCGCGGCACTGAGGCGAACACCACAATATCAAAGCCACCCTCCATCCGTGAAGCTGTCGCAATTTCCAAGCTTCAGAATCAGACTTGGAGGGAACGTCTCAAGCGAAACGCCGTGCCCGCCCTACCGACACGTCTGTGGGTGCGACAGGGAGGAGGTATTCATAAGGAAGAGGATGGAGGAAGAGGATGGCACAAGTGGAGCATGAGCGCACCGACCAAGGCTGTTCGGAGCCCCCTTGCTGGGAACGCGAAATGGAGAAGTGAGGAGTTGCGCAGCGCCTGTGGTCTCGAAATACGTTGATGCGTACCAAGGCCTTCCGGGGGCGGCATCCAAGCACTGGTCGGCCGCCAAGGTGGGGGAAGAGGGCAGGCGTGGGGCGGGGGAACAGGAAGAGGAGCGGGAACGGGATGAGTGGGATGGGGAGGGAACTGTCATCCCTCCCGTCTTTCCTCCACCGCCTCTTGCTCAGCCTGCAGTCGGGACTGGTTGCAGAGGACGACCGAGAGGGCACATGTCTCTTCCGAGGGCAACCTGCGCTCCAGACATGAAGAAGGCATGGCACGCGATAAAGAGGACACAGGGTGACCTTGCTTTTGCAAGGCCGACCTGCTAACCAAACCCAGTTGTACTCTGATGCTCAGTACCATACGTCTTCGGCGCGTTCCTCCGCCTCCTCTTGCTCTTCCGCGTCCAGTGCTGGCTAGAGGGGAGGCTCGTCCGCCCAGGTCGCAGCCCGATCCTGGCACCGCCGCTTGGTGTTTGGGGTGGGCCAGCGCCCCCCCCTCCTCTCTGAGGGGGCAAGATCTCCCTCCTCAGTCTCCAAACAAAGCGGGTCCACCGCTACAACCATCAATCACATCCATGCCGAGCGCCACTGCTTTCATGTCAGGCCTCCCACCCCCTCGAGGTTGGTTACTGCACAAGTGCAGTGCGAGCTACCTCAGCCACCCGTGCGCACATTGCCTCCTATACCTGGACGTTGTGAGCTTCCTGAGCTGCCTGCAAGTCATGGACTCCCCCAGCGACTTGTACATCGTGCGGCCCCTCAGCTATCTCAACTTCGGCTGATACCCCTCTTTCTTGAGCTACCCGTGCAGCGCGAACTTCCTAGAGTTCTGCTCGAAGAGCTTCCTATCCAACGTGAGCCACGCGTACACTGATCCTTCTGCTTCTGTAATTACCTCTGAGCCTCCTGAACCTTGTGAGCTCCCTGTAGTTCGAAAGCATGTACGTGATCCAGCCGATAGGTTGCCACCAGCGTCACATCGTGCGCAGCGCGTATTCAATGTCCCCTCTAGCTTGGCTGCAGCCAGAGCTACAGCTCGAGCCGCCCTTCCACTAACACTGACGCATCTTGCTGTTGCACGCTGTGCTGCCGCTGGAGGCTCAGCTTAAGCCCAGTCGAGTCAAAGCCGCAACCCCCATTTTGGGCCAACATCTGCCAACTCCAGCGCTGCTTGGCCTGAAACTGCTCCCCAGGGCAACGAGTTACGCACTAGCCCCTGGGAGCTCGATCCGCATCCAACCATCAGCGTCGCGACCCCATCGACGGCTGGGTCGGCACCGTAGTGTGCCATCAAGGGGGACTCGCGGGCGGCGAGCACATCCAGATCCGCGCCCTCGAGGTCTGCATGCTGGGGCGCGATCCCGCGGACACGTGGAATCGAGCCGACACCTTCCGCGCGGGGCATCCGCGAAAACGCGCCCTGTACCTGCCAGGCCGTGGCCCAGGGGCCCCGCCCGCGAGGCCGCGGATACGAATAGGTTTTGCGCCCACGATCCTGGGGGGTGCTGCGGTCGGTTCGCACAGCGTGCCGAGCCCAGCCACTTCTAGGGAGAGGAAGGCGGTGGAGGGGGGGAGGGGGGAGGACGGAGAAGGAGAAGGACGCAGGGCCGCAGTAAGCCCGGAATGCGTCAAGGATAGGTTTGTGTGTGTGTAGCCCGAGGGACCACCCCAGAGCTGCGACGCCCTGATTTTCACCGGAAGCCCCCAAAAGACCGAGCCAGCGCTGATGGGCCTGTTTTCCACCACCACCACCACCATAGGTTGGCGGGGGGAAGGAGGAGGACGAGGAGGAGGAGGAGGACGAGGAGGAGGATGAGGAGGAGGACTCCCTCCGCCTCCAACTTATGGTGGTGGTGGTGGCAAGCAGGCCCATCAAAAGAGTCCACCGGAGAGCCACCGCCCGCCTCGCCAGCCGAGGCCCGGCCTCGCCCGCCCTGCGCGCAGGGCAGGCCCGCCGGGCTGCGCGCGAGGCTCCGCCGAGGAGGCTCGGCCGCCCGCCTGCAGGACGCCTGGGCCACGCATCCGAGCCCTGCCCCCGCCAAGCATCGGCGCCGGTGGGCCTGTTCTCCACCACCACCACCACCAGAAGTTGGAGGGGGGAAGGAGGTGGAGGACGAGGAGGTCCCCCTCCCCCTGCAACTTCTGGTGGTGGTGGTGGTGGAAGACAAGCCCATCGGGTGCTCCCGAGCCGACCGGAGGCGGGGGTGGGGCTCGGGTCTCGCCGCGTGTTCGACGAGTCCCGGGCCCTGCCCCCGCCGCCCATCGAGTGGCCCGACTCGTGGATCGGCGAGGGTCTGCTTCGGATCGAGCCGCCGACGTGTCCTGCCATCCGCCAGCGCGTTGTGAGCCGCCTTCGCCGAGAACGCGCGCTCCCTTCTTGGCGTCCGGCGCCTGGGTCGACTCGTCCCCATCCTTCTTCCCGTACAGTGGTGCGGAGCGTCTCGACCTGGACCGATGCCTGGAACAGGACAGGGACGCCCGCCGTTTCCAACGACGCCTGGATGCCAATACACCCACCACGCTAGCAGAAGGAACGCACACGAAAGCACGAAGGGGCTCTTCTGTCCGCGGCAGGCCCAGGCGAATTACCAACAGGTCTCTCGATTTAGCTCTCGGGAGCGGCCCGCAAACCCGAGCACACCCTGAGCCCGAAGCAGTCCCTATTTCCGCGTCCTGGCCTGGGACGGATAAAAGGACACACCAGCACCACGTGTCCTCCTCGGAGGCGCGCGTTCGCACATCTGGTGCGCTGCGATCTGCGAAACTGTCGCCACTTTCGAGGGCTGCTGGGGGTCCAGCGGAATGGCGTCCCACGCACATTTTCAGATTGAACCTCGCCATCCGTGGGGGGCTGCGATCTGCGAAACTGTCGCCGCTTTCGAAGGCTGCTGGGGGATCCAGCGGAGTGACGTCCCACGCAGATTCAGAGTAGACCTCGCCAGTCCTGGGGGGGGGCTGCGATCAGCGAAACTGTCGCCACTGTCGAGGGCTGCTGGGGAGGTCCAGCGGAGCGACGTCCTAACCATATTCAAATTCGACCTCGGCATCCCTAGGGGGCTGCGAATTGCGAACTTGTCGCCGCTTTCGAAGGCTGCTTGGGGGCCCAACGGAGCGACGCCTGACCCAACTACAAATTAGACCTCGCCATCCTTGGGGGGCTGTAGTGTGCGAAACTGTCGCCACTTTCGAGGGCTGCTGGGGGTCCAGCGGAGTGACGTCCCACCCAGACTCAGATTGGACCTCGCCATCCCTGGGGGGCTGCGATCTGCGAACGTGTCGCCACTTTCGAAGGCTGCTGGGTCCAACCGAATGACGTCTGACCCGGACGCAACGTAGACCTCGCCATCCCTGGGGGGCTGCGATCTACGAACTTGTCGCCACTTTTGAGGGCTGGTGGGGAGTCCAGCGAAGTGACGTCCCACGCAGACTCAGATTAGACCTCGCCGTCCCTGGGGGGCTGCGAATTACGAAACTGTCGCCACTTTCGAGGGCTGCTGGGGGGGTCCGCGGCGCGCTGTCGCGGGCCGCGCGCAGACCTGGCGGCGCGCCTTCGAACTCCTTCGAACTCAGGCGGAGGATAGGGAGGAGGGGAGCAGGAGAGGGAGGAGACGTCAGCCTTCTCCATTCGGGAACATTAACACTGGGAAATGGGAGGGAGATGAGGAGGAGGAGAAGGAGGAGGAGGACGGGGAGGAGGAATAGGAATATGAGGGAAAGAACAAAGGGGACAGCTGAGATGGCGAGTTTTATGTTAAAATGGTTCAGCGACGCCGAGGAGGAGACGGCGGAGGAGGGTAAGGATGGGTGAAGGCGAAGGAACGGACACAGATCAGGTTCAGGGTCAGGCGTTCGGAGGTCATGCATCACAGTTTGGCTATGCAGTGTGGCCACTGCGGTAGGGAGGAGGACGAGGGGTGTTGGTCAGAGCTGAAGACCTGGGAGAGAAGCGTGAGGAAGAGGAGGCGGAGAAGGATAATGCGGAGGATACCGGGGATGAGGGGGGGGGAGGAGGAGGAGGAGGAGGAGGAGGAGGAGGAGGAGGAGGAGAAGGAGGGAGGAGGAGGAGGAGGAGGAGAAGGAGGAGGAGCAGGAGCAATAATAATAATACACGCTCCATACTGTTGCATCAAGTCCGCGCAACGTCAAAAAGGGGGAGGACGAGAAGGGAGAAGGAAGCAGATGAGAATAATGCTAGGGTGGAGGTTGATGCTGATCCACTGCGCGAGGTCTTCGCCACATGAGCCTTAAAGTTGTGGAGAAGAAGAGCGAGTTTATAAAACTGGCCGAGTCCAGCGACAGGGGGGAGGAGGGAGAGGAGGAGGAGGAGGAGGAGGAGGAGGAGGAGGAGGAACGTCAGCTGTACACCATCAGCTACAGAGAGGGTCCAGCGCGTGCGAGAAGGGCCAGCAGTGGAGCGCGAAGAACGGCTTCGCGTGCGGGCCGCGGCCACCGGCCGCGCTCTCAGGCCGCGGAGCCACCATTGTGAGGTGGAGGGCACGCACAGCGGGCAGGCTCGGAACTGCTAAGTGCCAGGGGAATTCGCAGAACAAGTAGCGATAAGTCGGGCGTGTCCCCCTACAGAGGGATTTTGGACGAAAAATAAAAAGTAACAAAATACTCTAAAAGACTCGAAAATAGTCCACAAATCGTCTCCAGACTATTGTTCGACTATTTTTGAATATTCCCCCCGTAGAGGGACAGGCCTGACTTAAAAGCAGCGCAAGCGTGCGCGTCCAGCCTGGCGCAGATGCACTGGATCGCGGCCTGCGAATTACACACCAGTTTCCGACGGCCGCGACTCCACCATGCCGAGGGAGGCGCGAAGAATCCTCGGCATGCTGGTCTCTCGCTGCTCCCGCGCATGTCCTGCCGCCTCGCGCTGGAAGGGCTCGATGCCCGACGTGATACGACCTGACACCTCGCTCTGCACGGCTACGTGGCAACCAGCCCGATCAGGCCTAGCTGGATGATCACGTCCAGGAGCGTCTGGTCCGACCCGGGCATTCTGGGAGGGCGGAAGAGCACTAACATCAGCTCCCACTGCAGCGGGCTGGGCAGGCTCGCTCAACGCTGAACATCGTGTCGAGGACTAGCGCGACCATGAACTCCATAAGATGCAGCACGACCAGCGGCACCTGAAACGAGACAATGAGTTCGAGGCGCCTCGGGCAATGGTCCAGCAGACCACGGGCCACCTCCGCTGGGCAGCCCAAGGACCAGCAGCTCGACGAGCACCTGCCTCAGCACTGCGCACTGCAGTGTGGCGAGAGCCACGGCCACCGCCACCCTCCGGATGAGAATCAGGACCCCCGTCGGGCCCACCGGATAGCCAGCATCGCCAGGGGCGCCGGCGCATGACGAGGCTTCGATGGCCGTGTTGGTATCGCTGGGCTCAGTCGGCGCGCGCCACCGACGCAGCGGGCACGCACGACAATGGCGTCTAGCTAGCGAGCTCAGCAGCAGGACGCGCACCGCATGATATGATGATGACGACGACGATTATCATGATAATGATGGCGACGATGACGATGAAGATGAAGATGATGATGCTGATGATGATGCTGCTGATGATGACGATGATTCCGATGACGATGCCGATGATGATGACGATGATGATGACGATGATGATGATGATTCCCATGACGATGACGATGCTGATGCTGATGATGCTGATGCCGATGATGGTGATGGTGGTTACGATGAAGATGATGAAGATGATGATGATTTCGATGACGATGCCGATAATGATGACGATGCTGATCATGATGATGATTCCGATGACGATGATGATGGTGATGCTGCTGCTGATGATGATGATGATGATGGTGAAGGTCATGATCATGATGATGGGGCAGGTGAGTCAGGTGATGATGGTGAGGAGGAGAGCGAAAGCAAACCCAGATACATCAACGATGCTGCAGTCCAGCCTCGCGACCTAAGTCCCCTCCTCACGCGTCCCTGCAAGCTATCCTCTGCACTGCAAGAAGCGTGTCCTTGAACGACCAGCACAACGTGGGCCTGCCATTTTGGCAGGGGCACCGTTTTGAAAACAAGCCGCCTTGCATACGCCTGGCGCAGCGTCAGGAATCTGAGAAATTGTTGTTTTCCCAGGAAGCAAATCTTCGATGTACGCCTGAAGTGAGACAATCCACAGTGATACGACATTCCTTTGAAATATAGCGGCTCCACCGGTGAGGTGGAGGCAGGGTAAGAGGAGAAGACAAAGGGGAAGCGGAGCAAAACTTAGTGGGCCCAGCGTGCATCAGGAACCTGAGCAACTATGATGTCACAACTCTCCCCATTTGGGAAAAGACCGCCCACGGTGAGTGCAACGGTAGCACAAGTTTACACACGTGGACGTGCACTTCGAAGGAATCTACAGCGAGGGCTCCATTGTGAAAAGGAGCTGCCCACGATCCATGCGGTGCTACATGCGTTGAATTTCCAGGTTCTTAGAAGTTATAGAAATATCAAGCGAGAGAACTCCAATTTGAGCAGAACCGTCATCCGTTCCTCTATCGGCTGCCCGCTTTCAGGAACACTGCGCGCGGCGCGAAGGCGAACGCCTCATTTTTTAACCACCTGTGCTCCAACCTTGAAGCTGTTGCAATATTTTTGGACGACTGTGGCCGGCGCTGGGAGAGAGAAAAAGAGAGAGAGAGAGAGAGAGAGAGAGAGAGAGACAGAGAGAGAGAGAGAGAAAACAGAGAGCCCCACTTTGAAAAGCAACCGCCCTTCATCCCTGAAGCTTCGGCAAGCTCTTGAGACGCATCCGCGCGTCGCGGAGTCGAGCGTCCCATGTTGAAAACGACCACCCCCTTTCATCCTTGAACCTGTAGCTAGCACTTCTATTGAACAAAAAAACGCAAGTGCGCGGCGCTGAGGCCAGAGCCCCACTTTGGAAACGCGCCCCTCCATCCTTGAAGCGGCCGCGAACTTTTACAAAGGATGTGCGCGGCGCTAGGGCGAGAACCACATGTTGAAAACGGCCCGCCCTCCATCCTTGAAGCCGCTGCACATGTCAAGCTTCAGGGCCAACAATGGGGAGGACGCCTCGGGCGGAACGCCCCGCTCGCTCTGCCGACGCGTCTAGGGTCCGACAAGGAGGACTTCTCTAGCACAACCGTGGTGGCCGTGGCCGTGGCTGCCGGGCCCGCGGCCATGAGCTCGGAACCCCTTCTTGATCGCGGCGGCCGTAGCCGTGGCAGTGACCGTCTGGCCTGTGGCCGCGACCCGGGCCCCCAGGCTGCGAAGACACAGCTCAGTAGCAACCGAACTATAAACAGCTGTTTGCTCCCAGCGGGGCGTCTGGACAGCTGGGCGGGCCCACAGGTGGGCCTCGACATCATAGTCGACAGTAGGGTGCCGTCCATTTGGGAGAAGGGTCGCGATTGCAACAGAGGGAGCGGTGAATGCCAAAAGGCTTCAACACTCATGACGACCCTTAAACACAAAGGCAACTATCTGCCTAAATGAGCAACAAGACCACGCTTTGAGCCAGATAAGCCAACATGACACGTAAACGACGAGAAAGACGGTCATCATCATCATCACCACCATCATCATCACCATCATCACCATCGCCATCGTCATTACCATAATAAACATCAGCATCATCAGCATCACCATCATCATCATCATCATCAGCATTATCATCATCATCACCATCACCATTATCATCACCCTCCCACCTCCAGCATCCTCACCATCCTTATCATCGCCCCCTTCCTCCTCTCACTCGCTCTCGCGAGGCCCCGCCCCCCATCGGCACGGGAGGGCGCCTGCGCGATGAATGCCATGTCGGCGTACGGCCGCCTCCTTCCTCCCTCCTCTCCTCCCTCCTCTCTCCTCACTCCTCTGTCCTACCTCCTCCCCCTCCCTACTCCCTACTCCCTCTTTCCCTTCTCTCCTCTCCTCCCTCCTCTCTCCTTTTTCTCTTCCCAGCTACCTCCTCTCCTCTCTCACCCCTCCCCCTGTCCCTCCCTCCACCTCCCTCCTCTCGTCACTCTTGTACGCTAAACCGTACTTGAACTTGAATTCCTAAAGCTTGTTGTTCGCTCCTCCTCTCTTTGTTATTCTCCCTCTCCCCCCCCATCATCATCCCCCGTCCTCATTCCTCCCATCAGCCTCCCTTCACATCAGTCCCTCCACCCCTTTCCTCACTCATCCATCCTCCTCTCCTTCCTATATCCTCCGATGCTTTGTTGACCTGCACCTCCGCAGAACGTTTCAACTTCAAACTCTCTGGGCTGCTCGGTGCGCGCTGCGCACGACTCAATCACGAGTACCGTGTACTCGTGCGTACCCCATTTCTCGCAATTTTCTCCGTGGTGCGACCCCCGATCATTGCAGCACGGACTCCATAACTTGACTGAACATCGTCGCCCTGGCCTTCCACATGGGCACCGCCGCAGAGCCCTTCATGTGGTCATCGTTGAAGGCCTTGATCGTCTTCAGCACGTCCGTGCCGCACCCCTTCGCCTCCGTCGCCGAGAGCTTCGCCAAAAACCAAGCGTGGCCCCATTCCGTAGTTTTCTTAGGCTCGTAGAACACTGGCATCGCGACCCAACCCCACGGCACACTCAAGACCCCTTTCGGCGGAACCACCACCCACTCGGAGCGCTCGAAAAACTTGACGCCGTCGTCCGTCTCCAGGAACTTCGCGGCGTTCGGCATCACGATACCGTCGTCGAGCAGGCTCTCGATCTTGAAGAGGCCCACGTACATCTGGCTCTCCCAATTCTTCATGACGAAGCCTACGCCAGGAAGAGGAACTGCAGCTGCACCAAACCTGAACGCGTTGAACCTAGCTGTGAACATCCAGGGGTCCGCACCACCATCTGCATCAAGAGTGATGTCATTCGGGAGGGGCGCGAAGTCGAACGTCTGCAACGAGCTCTGGATGCGGCCAATGGCCCCTGGCGCCTTAGCCTCCCTGAGCATGAGGTTGTCCATGGTCGTGATCTTGGCCTCCATCTTCGTGGCCGACTCCGCCATGAACTGGTTGACCATCTTCTCGATTGTTGTATCCGCGCTGCAGAAGATCTGGACGGCGTCCCCGCTGTACTCCGCCTCGTCGCCCTCGGGGGCAGCAACTCCCAGCGCGTGGTTGGTCAGCGCATTCTCCGCCAGCGGGTAGCCGCGGATCTTTCTCGCAACCGCGATCCCCAGCCTCTTCTTGAAGCCGCCCGAGATCAGGGAGTTCGCAACCTGCGGAGGGCGAGAAACAAGAACCAAGACAACCAGCAAAGTCGAGATCCGAGGATCCAGGATCGGATCCATCTTGGCAGGAGCCGAGACGGCCCCCTTTGGGCGGGGCCCGTCCTGGGCTGGCCCCAAAACGGGGGCGTCTTGGATCCTGCCAAGATGGGCCCATCTTGGACTCGGGTTCCCCTTCCCGCATTGGCTCCGACCCCCAAGGCTATCCAACAGAGCCCCTTCCAGGCCCGCTGAGAGGAACCTGTCTTGGGTCCAACCACGAAAAGCCCGACTTGGGCCCACCAAGATGGCCCCATCTTCAACCGATGGGGCCCGTCGTGCCCCCCCCCCTCAGCCGGCGCCGCCAAGAGGGGCCCGTCTCGGGTCCCAACGCGAGGGGCCCGCCCTGGGTCCCCCAAAGAGGGACCCAACACATATGTTTAAGCCTGGTGCGTTTCGGCCTCAGGCTCACCTTCATGATCTGGTGGTGCTCGGCCTGGTAGACCTTGCGCTCCTGGACCTTACTGTCCTTGAATACGAAGTCCATGGCCTCGTAGTGGTCTTTGCAGGCCCTCTGGGCGATCTCCAGCTGCTCGATGGCGACCTCGGCGGACCTCTCGAGCGACGCCAAGTTCTCCACAGTCGAATGGTTCACCTCACCGTTCTTCTCCTTCAGGATCTCCGTCTGGTCGTCGGCCTTCTTGGCGATCGCATCGGTCTTGGTGGGCAGCTGGTGCTTGGCATCGAGACTGGCCAGCTTCTCCGACATGGTAGTCATCTTCGTCTTCTCGCCTGCGGCGCCATTCAAGGTGTTCAGCGCGTCCTCGATCTTCCGCGACAGGATCGATTGCCTGCGGAGCAACTCTAACGCCGAGAGATCCTGGGGGGGCTTCGCCAAGAGAGCCTCGTCGTTCTCTGGTGGAGTGGTGGCCTGGCGCTCGCTTCCAGCTTTCTTCTTCGTTGGCGGCACAGGCGTCGAGACCTCCGAGGGGCGAACAGTCGGAAGACTAGGTGATGGACTAAGTGATCCATCGGGCCCAGGGCTGAGCATTCCCGAACTCGAACCTGACACTGACCAAGCCGTGGGAGCCGTCTTCGTAGTCAACCTCCGTCGCTTGAGGCTGTAGGTCTCAACGTCGATCTCGCTGACCTTCAGCGCGCCTTTTTTGACTTCGTTGCTCTTGCCCTTCCGCAGCGTCCCATATCCCTCATGCTTCACGCGGCTCTCGCCGTTCCTGTTCTTGTGCTTGTCCCCCTGCTCCTCCACAAGTCGGTCGAAGTCCTTCCCGAGCTCCCTGCGTGTCCTCGTCGACGCCTCGTTGTTCAGCATCCAGCCGATGTACTGCGACTTGGTGAGCAGCATGTCGTCCTCCAGCTCCTGGTCGAACTGCTTCTCCACGTGCTCCTCGATCTCCGCGTGCTCCCGCTTCGCAGTCGCCACTGCCTGGGCCCTAACCTCGGGCTCGGCGCTCGGGAGAAACGGAGCCACCGAAGCTCGCCACGCCATGGGGTCGTTCTTGTAGTTCTGCTTGTTGGCCTCCTTCGCCGCGGGAAAGTTGCTCATGCTTCGCCAGTGGGCCCTGACCCCCTCATAGCAGCCCTGGTGGAAGGTGTGCCCGTCGTGGCGGCAGGGGAGGTTCGTGAGCACATCATCCAAGTTGCAAGCGTAGCACGTGCCCGTCTCCATCACAGCATCGTCAAAGAAGAGATCCTCATCTAACGCGCTACCTCCCGCCGACGGAGCCCTCGAGCTTGCCCTCGACGCCATCGGAGCGGACCCGAGCACCGTACTTCTCAGTATAGGCTACCTCCGCGCAGCAGAGGCTTGGAAATGTCACTTGTGACACCAACGGTCTTTGGCCAAAATGGCTACTGATGGGATGTGTTATGTTAACTCTTGATCTCTGGATTCCCTCTGAATTGTATCGGGGCATTTGTTCGTTCAGGATAATGTTTTTATGTTTGGCGTTTGCGTTTCTCCAGCGTTTTCGTAAGTGCTCCCCCCCATCCCTCTCGCTCCTACTCCTCCTCACCGTCCCCTCCCCCCCCCCCCCCGAAAACAAAAAATCACGCGGGGTGTGTTTGTCCCTCAATTCTGAGCCTTCAACTGGTGGTGGAGGGTCTTCTTCTGCAGCCATTGGTGGGTCTTTTCTTAGCATCCCTTCGGGGCCAAAGAGCTACTGATTGGACCTCTGAGTTAACTCTGGATCTCTGATTTCCTTCTGCATTGTACCCGAGCAATTTTCCGTTCAGGATGTTATGGTTGGTTTGGGTGTTCGCGTTTTCCCAGCGTTTTCCTTAAGTAAGTGCCCCCTCTTCCCCCCTCACTCCTCCTACTCCCCTCGTCGCCCTCCCCCCACCACGTCCCTCTCCTCGAGCCTCCCTCGGGCCCTCCTGGAGCCTCCGCCTCATCGAGTAGACCACTCATATCATCTGCACCGCCTCTTCTCAACAGGCGCACCCCAACGGGCGCATTAGAGCATGCTTGCGCAGCGCCCCTCCTAGAGAGCGCCAACCCCACACAAGTGCAAGTGTCGTGGCTGTCTGCACCCCTGCACGACTGTGCTCGGCTGTTCCAACACCTCAGAGCCTGCTTAAACAGTGTTTCGACGCCTGGAGGGTTGCTTAAACGCTGCCTCGACGCCTGGGGGTTGCTTCAACATTGCTTCAACATTGCTTCAACATTGCTTCAACTTCCGCTGTCATTGTCAACATTGCTTCAACATTGCTTCAACATTGCTTCAACCTTGCTTCAACTTTTTCGACCAACGTCAACATTGCTTCAACATTGCTTCAACCTTGCTTCAACATTGCTTCAACATTGCTTCGGCGGGTGTCAACACAGTTTGGGGGTCATCACTTTCATATAGAAAAACAGGTGTGTTTGGCTATCAACAGCGTTTTGGCGTTTTTTTTCAAGCGTCAACAGGGGGCTCCTTCGAACATCGACTGGCCCAGTCGGCGCCCAACGAATCGCCGATTTCAGGCTGGCATGGGTGAACGTCAATATCTGGTTTCCTTTTCAGTCTCAACGAGTATCGTCGCCGTATTTTGCGATGTAATCGTCAATCTCAGCGGTCGTCGGGGGCCGCCGATGGTCCTCCACCGATCGGGACTCGCCGAACGACGCCCAAGTGGCAAGGAAAAGAGCAGCTGCTTTAGGCCCGTGACGTTCCACACCAAGCCTCAAGCTCCTGTACTTGCCGCAAGCTGCCCCATGAACAGGGCAACGCATCCTAATTCCGCGCTCCTCGGCGCCGTTCCGTGTCCGCTTCTCGAGTCTCACTTCCATGCCCCAAATCGTGGGCGGATATTCGGGCACCAAAGGACCTGGTGCAGCATCGACTGCAGCATCAGCAACTGGGACAGGGCCTGCGGGCTCAGCGGGCTCGCCAGCAGCACCGTCTGGCTCTACTAATTCTGGGGCCTCTGGGCTTTTGACGCCTTCGGGCGGATCATCTTCAAGTGGGAGGGGGCCTGCAGGCATGTCCAAAGCGATGTCATCATCGCTCATGATGGCGGGGGGGGCTGGACCCACGGGCGGCTTTACAGCTGGCTCCTTGTCAAGCAGGGGCAGGGGCGGTGCAGCGCCATCCCCACATGCAAGAAGCGCTCGGCATTCCTTATTCGTGATACCTGGCGTGATCTTGCCTTTCAGAAGAAGTTTGAAATAATATCCTGGCCTGTCGCTCCGAACGTCGGGCGGCGCAGTCTTGGACACATCGTCCCAGCACACCAAACACTGATAATAAAATCTCTTAGATGACGGCCTCCTGGAATCTGCTATCTTCGCCGAGCCTGGGTCGTGCCTGAGGGGATCTGCTTCAAAGTGTGCGCCCCTCCCATTCCCCTACGCCTACTTCCGCGATGTTCAACTAATGCCCTGGACCCAGACGCTCTACGCCCATGCCGAGCCTGATGCCGCCTTAGTGGCTCACTGCTCTCTGCATGTATGCATGCCTCTCTCTCTCTCGCTCTCTCTCTCTCTCTCTCTATATCTCTCTCTCTCTCTCTCCTCTCTCTCTCTCTCTCCTCTCTCTCTCTCTCTCTCTCTTTCTCTCTCGCCATCTCTCCCGCCCTCCATCGCTCGATCTCCCCCCTCTCTCTCTCTTCCTGCCCCTCCTTCTCCCATCCTCCGCCTTCTTGCGCTAGCTCGGACTCTTGTGATGGGGTGCTGATCCTACCTGGATGGTTTCGCTGCCTCTCTCTCTCTCTCTCTCTCTCTCTCTCTCTCTCTCTCTCTCTCTCTCTCTCTCTCTCTCTCTCTCTCTCTCTCTCTCTCTCTCTCTCTCTTCAATGGTTGCATCACTCGCCCTCTCTGGTTCGATATATTGTTGTGTTTGTTGCGCCTCACTGCCTGACAAGCCTCTCCTCGAAGGCCCAGCCGAGCATGCGGAGCTCGTCCATCAGGCTGAGGACGGGCACAGACGTATCTGAGAGCTTCACGCGTGGCCTGAGAACCTCAGGCTGGTCCAAGAACAAGCAGCCATCGATATCACTCGGCCTCGGGCTCCAACGACACGTTTGGTCCCTGTCGCAGGTGCCATTGATGCAATCGAAGAGGTCGATATGAAGTGGATCAGAAACGATAAAGACCTGAGCAGAGCCGACTGCTCCTGCAGCAGACTCCTGCCATATCTCAAACGGCTGCACCGTCAGCCTGAGCGCGAACTCCTTCTTCTTCCGAAATGTTCTTACAACCGCATTCTTATTCGTGCAAGGCAGAAGTTAAAAACAAATCTTTGGTTGACCCATCTTTCTGGCTTGGTAGCGACATGTAGCACCCAATATTCGTGCTAAGTGCAGTCTCGAAGTGCCCCTTCAGAAGCATCCGAGTTGCACCACCGCCACCAGCATGCCCATCAGGATGATCGTCACCGCCTCCATGCATATCATCATCACCTGGACCGTCGCCAGGTCCCTGGTCATCTGGCCCATCGCCAGCGTCGCCAGCATCTGGCACGCCCACTGGGTCAGACAGCTCGAAAGTTCGGAAATACTCCATTGTATACACTCGTTGGTTCAACATGTTCTGACCTATTTTCTTGCGGCGCTGGAAGCGCTTCTCTCGGCGAGCTTGCAGGATCGACGACGGCCGTCGCCGAACATCCTCCAATGACAAAGTTGTATGAGATAACATGTTAGTTATATCGTCAATGTTTTGATCAACGCGCAAGCTCGAGGCGATCCATGGCCTTGTCGCTGCACGAGCGTGCGTATAGACTGCCTTAGCTCGGCTGCGCGGTGCTCCCCCTACAGCGTCATCAAGCGGAATATCTTGCAGCGACTTGATTGCGTAAGCAAGCTCTTCGGACATGTTAGACCCATCGGGCAGCATGGCGTCAGTGTGCGCCCGAAGCCGAGACCCCTCCCTCAGAAATTCGTGTGTCACTCTATGGTGGTCACCCGGTGTGGCGCATTGTGCGAGGCATCTGTCCCGAACTCCAGGTTCCGCTAACCGACAGAGGAGAATTGGAACAGTGTCCAGGAATTCCAGCTTCTCCTTCCCTAGTGCGAACGTCGCTCTCGCGCAGCTTACACATTGCCTGTGGAGCTCGGCCCCCCAAGCATTCGCGCCCCAAGATTTGCAATCCTCAATCATTTGTTTCACGTTGTCCATGGCAAACTTGCGTGCATCCCGAACGAGCCTCCCCTTTATGAAAACACGTGATCTGTTTACCTTGCATGATCTCTGCGCGATGACAGTTGCAAGTTCCCCCCCCCCCCAAAAAAAAAAAGCCGAGCGCTCGTGACACCTCCTCGCAAACCACGCGATGCTTAAATTGGGGTGCCCGCTGGGCCGACCCGAGTGCAGCACGCGCATCTTTAAAATGAGTTTCTCTGCTCTTCTGCCGAAGAGGTGCAGGATCAAATTGTCGAACGAAGCCTTCCAGGAAGCCCGACAATGGTTCGCAACAAAAATGTAATGGCGTCCATCTCCAATCTGCGAAATGAGGTAACCTGGCTTTCTTGATCAACCTGGCCAAAACATTGAATCCTGCCTGTTCTATCTGGAACGAGATCTCTTCCACCTTCTCCCGAAAGAACTCGATGATTGCTTTGGGGCCCTTCAGGAAACCAGGCCACCATGGTAGTTGATGCACGCCCCGCCTCAGAATCAGATCCCAGCAATGTTTCCATCCAGGCATCGCAACAGCTCTTGGGAAAACCATTGCTGGATGTGGACCTCGGGGGGCTGCGCCGGTGAAGCGGAGAAAGTCCCGCAATACTGTTCCTGGCAAGTCTGCTATCAGCCTTTCAGTGCCCATGTCAGTGCACAAGCTGCGAATTGAAGAACCAAGCGATATCATAGAGCAAATCCCAGTTATTAAGAATATCTGCCACAACAGCGCCACTCCTTTGGCTTTCAGGTCAGTACCTTTGAACCGCAGTGAAACTAATGGGAAGAGACGGCGTTGCGTCAGGGACGGGCAACATATATCAAACGAGGCGCTGAACATGTCAAGCCCTCTCCACTGAGGCGAAGCGTCACACCACACATACGTCCATTTTTTTCGTCGGGCTGGGCTTCCCAGAAAGAACGGAACGCAAGATTTGCAGTGATGTCTGCCCGCGCCCTAGCTCTCCGAAGTGTTTCAATTCCAACTCTCTTGAACTCCACATGCGGCTCTCCAACGATAACTTCTTTCCATGCGTCGCTCGCCTCACTGGCCTGCTTCAACTGTTTCAAATACTTGGTTGCTTTCATCCAAGAGATGATGAGGCGAGCGGGGATCGCTGCAAATGTCGATGCATCCCCCTCGAGTGCAGTCGGCCTCTCGACGGCAGGCCGTTCGAGCTGGACAACCTCGCCTGGCTGATATGGTTTGCAATCTTTCTCCGTGGCGAAACCTCCGATGAGGCGTTGGCGATTGATCTTGTTGGTGCAAGCCGCAACGTGCAAGATTCGGCAGCGACCCTCGCCGAAGAAACCAAGACTTTCTTTACTGCAAATTCGCCAAGGGACTAAGTATTGATTGCGTGGTCGTTCAACCGTCCATTGATCAACCACCTTCTGAACTTTGTCCGACGATATGCATTCTAAACCCATCATCGATCTATGTATGTCTGAGCGGTGTGTTCGAATATCGAGAGTGTGCTCATCTATGCCAATCATCTGGATAATTTCGTAAACCACGAAGCCCGTCACCAGCCCTTTCGTCATTTTCATGGCCTGGGGTGCGAGCTCAGATCCGACGTCTTCCAAATTTTGCACAAACCTGTACGCAACCAAGGCCACGGCAAATACGTCACCCTTGTACGGGCCGTCATCTACATCTGTTGGATCACCATAGTATTCCCTCCACGCACCATGATTGTTCAGCACGAGAACAACTGTTATAACATCGTTTTTTGTTCAGCAGGCCCTCTTCGACGAGGCCTCGCCACGTCGAGGGCTATGTCATCATCCAAATCTTGTTCCTGTGGGAGATCGAGCGCAGTGTCTTGTGCGATCATCGATGCATTAATTATGAGCCCAAGCGGCTGCTGAACCGACGATTCTGGTAGCGGGTGCATGGCAATATCACTAGTAATGAGACGGCGAAAGCTTGTTGGGCCGACTTGGGGCCGTCTTGGGGCCGTCTTGAGCCGTATTAGGGCCGCCTTGGGCCGTCTTGGGTTCTTGTAACGTCTTGGGGGCATCTTGGACCGTCTTGGAGTCCTGCTGGCGCTCCTGCTACACATGTGTCCAACTTGGCGAATGCGATTCGATCTATAGCTGGCGGAGGTGGGGGGCAGGATCTGCGTAAGGGGTCGCAAACGCGAATTTGAGTTGAGGGGTATGTTGAAACCAGGGGGTGGCGGTTGAGGGGGGCAAATGTGAGTTTATGTCCTAGGGCTGTGCCTCCGCACCCCAGGCTGCGCCCCGGCCCTCGGAGCCATGCCCCTCCGTGGAGGCCCAGGCCGTGGCGGGCCTACCTCCGGCCGCTCGCACCAATAGCTCCACGTTCGCAGCCCCTGGTCGTCGGGCCCCTGGGCCGTGCCCCCTGGGCGTGGCCCCCATCCCCTCGACTCCCTGGCTCAGGCCCCTCTGGGCCGCGGAGCCTTTTCTCTCCGGCCATGGCTCGCTCGTGCGCCGTTCGTCCCTGGCCTCCCTGGTTTCCCTGGCCTCCCCCCCTCCCTGGGTCGCGGGCGACTCCCTGGGGCAAGAGCCAGGGCGTGCGTGCAATTTGTTTTCACGGGAGAGGGAGGGAAGAAGAGGGAGGAGAAGGAGGAGGACGAGGAGGAGGAGGAGGAGAATGAGGATGAGGATGAGGAGGAGGAAAATGAGGAGGATGATGAGGAGGAGGACGAGGAGGAGGAGGAGGAGGAGGACGAGGATGATGATGAGGAGGAGGAGAAGGAGGAGGACGAGGAGGAGGAGGAGGAGGACGAGGAGGAGGAGGCGGGAGAGGAAGGGGGGGAGGAGGAGAGGGAAGGCGAAGCAGGAGTAAGACAGGAGAGCACAGAGAAGGGAGGACGTGGGTGAATGCGCAGCCCCCGCGCCTTGTTGAGCTCGGGGCTGTCGGCCTGGACCAGCTCGTACTGCTGGTGCTCGGTCATGCCAAGCGCGTCGAACCCCTCTGCGCACGCATGCTGGCGCCCCTCCATCGCTCCTCCTCCTCCTCCTCCTTCTCCTCCTCCTCCTCGTCCCACCTTGTCCTCATATTTCCTCATAGTTCCTCCTACTCATCTGCCTCCCTCCTCGTTCCTCCTCCTACTTCTTCCTCCTCTTCTTGGACGTTCAGGTGTGGATTATTGTCCTTCTCATCCTCCTTCCTCGGTGCCCGGACATAAAGTGTCCACACCCATGGCGGGAAGGCGATGCAACACGATAACAACCACAACTCCGAAATGCCTTCACTTCGCCCCCCCCAAAACCCAAAGTTGAAGTGTCCACATGGTTTCCCTGGCCTTTGGCCTACCGCCTAAACCCGTGAACTTTGAATTTAGGGGAAGGGGGGCATACATGTTGGTCCGACGTACTTTAATGACTCAAGGCCTTGGCGAGACACGTGTGGACACTTTTAGTCCACCCACCGTGGTAATAAAACCAGTCAAGGTGGCTATGCCGTTGATGCGAATTGCTTCAAATGCGTGTGCGTCCCACGCGAAGGATAGTATCCCTGGCTATGCAACTCGAGTCCAAGCAACGCAATGGTCACGCGTGAAGTTGACGATGGCGCGTGACGATGGCGGTGATGGTGGCGATGATGCGCACCCAACACACTGCAATGCGAACCGCGGACATGCAACGCAAAACAAGGCAAAGCAAATCCAACGAAACGCGGGGCCCAAACAACAAAACTATCCTGGCGAAGGACCCAACCATACTGTATGCAGTTGTAGGTACCGCAATTGTGAATACGTTCTTCCGAGAAACTCCCTATGGGGCGACGAAGCGCTGCATTGGGTGGGGGGGAACGCATGCGGGCGGTAGCACTGGGGCCGTCGGTGGAACTCCCTATGGGGCGGCCACGAAACGCTGTACTGGGTGAGCCTCAAAAAACCAAATTCGGTTTCCGGGACGCATGCGGACGGCCCCACCGGAAACGGCGGTGGGGCTCCCTGTGGGGCCACGAAGCGCTGCTCTGGGTGGGGGGGAACGCACGCGGGTGGTCCCAATGGGGGCTTCGGTGGAGCTCCCTATGGGGCCACGAAGCGCTGTGCTGGGTGGGTTGGACATGCCAAAGTGGGCTTCCGGGGCGCATGCGGGCGGTCCTACTGGGGGCTTCGGTGGGGCTCCCTGTGAAGCCACGAAGCGCTGTGCTGGGTGGGTTGGACATGCCAAATTGGGTTTCCGGAAGCATGCGGGCGGTCCTACTGGGACCTTCGGTAGGGTTCCCTGTGGGGCCACGAAACGCTGCACTGGTTGTGCGGGACGCATGCGGGCGGTAGCACTGGGACCTTCGGTGGGGTTCCCTACTGCGCCGATCTGAAATTTTCCCAAACTTCGCCACCGTGCTCGCCGCGGCCATCTGGGGTGGCGCGCGCAGGATAAGACTCGCGGGGCCCGAGGGCGGACGGGGGCGATGTCGCGAGGGCAGAGTCGGCGCGCCGTGGGCAGCCCAGCACCCCGTTTGGCCGGAGGGGCCCAGTACAATGCAAGGGCAGAGCCTAACCCCCGCCTGGGGTCGCGGGATCGGGTTCCCCTTCCCAATTTTAAAATCCCCAATGGTGTACTGACCCGAAAATGAGCAAACGGCATCGGACCTCCTCAAAACAACTTTCGGGTTTAGTCATACGACGACCCGAAAAGTTTACTGGTCGACCTGAAAGCTGCCAAATGCCATTGGACTTGCGCCCGGAAAAAATTCGCCTCCGGTTCGAACGACCCGGAAATGTGCAAACCGCTTGGGGCTCCTTGCAAAAACATCGTTCTCGAGGTCTTCGGGCCCGCTACGAGGAAACCGAACATGGGCGAACCGCTTAGACCTTCCTATCAAAAAAACGGTTTCTCAGTGGTTCCGGGCCTCGTCCGAAAGAGCCGCCGATGGGCAGACCGCTCAGGACGTCCTGCACAAGAAACGGCTTCCCGGGTGAGCCATTGTCAACGGGAGCGCGCCCCGCGCGGGATCGGGGTTCGCACGGGGGCGCGGCTGTTCTCGCCTGCCCAGGGGGCATGGATTGCCGCGCCCTTCCAGCTGAGCGTTTGCGCAGCATTCGCGCGGCGCCGTGCCTCTCAAATCGGAATAAACTTTCGGAGCGCCGATGTGTGGTTCCACGAAGCGCTGTATTGGGTGTGCGGGACGCATGCGGACGGTCCCACTGGGACGGACCGTTGGTGGGGCTCCCTACGGGGCCACGAAACGCTGTACTGGGTGTGCGGGACGCATGGGACCTTCGGTGGGGCTCCCTATGGGGCCACGAAGCGGTGTACTGTGTGTGCGGGACGCATGCGGACGGTAGCGCTGAGACCTTCGGTGAGGCTCCCTATGGGGCCACGAAGCGTGTGAGTGGTGTGCTGCAGGTGGTGACGATGATGATGGTGATGGAGGATGGAGGAAAGGGAGGAGGAGAAGGAGGATGAGAACCCGGGGACCGTAATTTCAAAACGAGGACCCAACACCACAGGATGGTTGGGAAATAAATAACGGCACGCCCCGGCAGCCCCGCGGCTTCCCTTTGCGTGGGCAAGTGCGTGGACCTGGTACAACTGGTACAACTGGATCGAACTGGTCATAGAACTGGTCCATTCGAAATAGGGTCAGGCATAGAACTGGTCGTCTCCAATTATGTGTTTGGACTATATGAATTACTTCCTGTTAGAATGTCGACCAGTTCTATGCCGGACCCTATTCTTAATGGACCATTATATGACCAACTCTATGACCAATTCTATCCAGTTGTACCAGTTCTACAACGAAGCAAACCCACATCAACGAAACAACGAAACTCTTCTTACGTACCCAGACGTCCCCCTCCTCATCCCCATCCGTCTGCTCCTCACGCCCATCCTCTGCCTCACGATCGGGCACTGGTGCTGCTCATCCTATTCCGTCTCATACCAAGCCGTCTCATATCAACCCGATCTCTCATAACAACCCGCTCTCTCCTTCTCTTCCACTCTCTCTCTCTCTATACCAGTATGGTTGTGTGATATATCTCCGCATGTTATGTGTGTGCTTCTATATAGACATATGTATATATGTAGAGATGTATGCTCCTGCGTTTTCTCCATCTGGTCTTTGTTATCTGCCTCCCATCCCTCCCCCTCTTCATCATCCTGCTGCTACTCTCTATCCTCCAACTTAGCCTCCTCAACACGTTTCTCCTTCCCTCCTCTACCTTCTCTTCTTCGTCATCCGTCCCACCCTTCTCTCTTTCCTCCTCCCCCACTCTCTTCTCCTCCTCCCTTCCTCCCTCCTTCTTCGTTCCCTCCCTCCCTCTCTCCTTCCCTCCTCCCGCCGCCCTCTCCTCCTCCCTCCATCGGTCCCTCACTTGCCATTCCTCCCTCGCTCCCGCCTCCTCCGCAGCCCCCGGCACGCGCGCCAGTGTCGAGCGAACGACCACCGGGGCTAGGCGTGCGGGGGTATCAGTCCGCATGAGAGCAGGGGATGCCCCATCGAAGCAGGGCATTTCTCAGCGACCAGGGGAGAGACCAAAGACCCCTGCCTACTCTTCCTCCTTATTATTATTCTTCCTTCCTCCTTCCTCCTTCCTCCTTCCTCCTCCTCCTCCCTTCCTCCCTCCCTACTTCCCGCCCTGCCTTTCGCCGTAGCCATTTAAGATGAGGGATCTCGGCTCGAGGTGGCTGAGTCAGGTGCCCGAGGCACCGCCTTGTGCTGGAGCAGCCCTGCCCTCTGGCAGACACCAGCGACTCCAACTTCGCGAAGTACGGTGCCAAGCTCGACAGCTTCCTGGCCGGGTGCTCAGGCCCTCGGCGCTCAGTCTGGGCAAGTGCGCGCCTGGTGGGACAGGAAGCCACCCACCACCAGCAGGACTTCGAGTAGCACGCGGTGCAGCGCGAGCTCCAGCAACTCGCAGCACGACGTTGAGCAGCACGGACTCGGCTACGGCCGAATTCGCAGCACGTCGTTGGGCAACCTGACGTTGAACATCGCCCATCGGTTCGCCCTGAAGCAGTCTGGCGCTGAGCCGTCCGGTATCGGCAGGTACGACGTCTTGCAGCACGCATTCATGGGTGTGACGCACGGCGTTGACCAGCACGGGTAGCACCACGTTGACCAGTGCACACGGAATTCAGGTCCTGACTTCTTGCAGCAGATCGTTCGCGGTCACAGCGCGTCTGTGAGCAGCACGACGTCGAGTAGCTTCTACGAAAAGGGCGCCTTCGAGCAGTACTTCTTGCAGTGCTTTGTTATGGAGCACGACGGTGAGCATGCAGAACGCCGCCGAGCAGCGCAACGTGCAGCAGCACGCGGCCCGGGAGTGGTCCCCCCCGTCTCCAGGGCGCAGCATCCGCGCTGGGCCGCTGGGCGTCTCCTTCTACCTGTCGGGGAGTGGCCCTGCCCGAGGACCGAGGTCTGCCCGCGGCCCGCAGGGCGGGCGGGCGGGCGCCCGCGGTCCCTTTTGCTCCGATGGGGTGCACGTGGGCGTCGCCTGCCTCTCCTGAAGGAGGGCCTCGGCCCAGGCACGTGGGCGCCACAGCAGCGCAAGTGCCCCGTGGCCTGCACTGGGCCGGCGTCCTGCTCGGAGCCAGCCGGCCTCTTCCATCCCTCCTCCTCTCCATCCCTCCATCCCTCCTCCACCCGTCCGCCCCTCTTCTTCCCTCCATCCCTCCTCCATCCATCCCTCCGCCGTCCATCCCTCCATCCCTCCTCCATCCATCCCTCCTCCATCCGTCCATCCATCCATCCATCCGTCCTCCTCCCTCCATCCGTCCTCCTCCGTCCGGCACCCCTCCTGCACCCTCACCCCCCCGCTCCCCGTCCCTCTTCCTTCACCCCCCCTCCTGTTCCTTCTCCTTCTTATCATCCCTCCTCTCCCCCATCCCGCCTTCAAGATGAACTCGAACACGGTACCCAAATTCTCTGGAGAGGGCGCGGTGACGAAGATGTTGGAGTAACCGTAGGCGACCGCAGACGCTATTGCGAGGCCTCGGTGCAATGGAAGGAGGAGGGACAAGACACAGAGGGAAGAGTGAAAAGGGAGGATGAGGAGCAGGAGGACGAGGATGGGGAGGAGAGGGAGAAGAGAGGAGGAATGAGGAAAGAGGACCGAGGGGGAGGGAAGACGGGAGGAGGAAGACATGAGGTCGGAGGGAGGACAGAGGGAGGATGAGCATGAGCAGGACAGAGAGGAGCGAAAGGATGCGGGATAGCAGGTGCACCGTCCAAACAAGTGTTGCTCCTGTATTGCACTTGATGGAGTATGTGGAAATTCTGAAAGCCGAGGCACTTCGCAAGCCTGCCTCATAAGTTGATGAACATTTGCGCAATGTGCACAACGACCGCCGTGGCGCAGAGGCCAACAATTATCTTGAGCCTCAAGTTGCCCCCCCAAGACGGCCCACGAGAGCCCCAAGAGGGCCCCAAGAGAGCCCAAGAGGGGAATACAAACTGGTATGTCGAGCCTTTCCCCCCAAGATGGCCCCGAGAACCCTCCAGAGGCTCCCGAGGCGCCTCCGAAAAGTCCCAAGAGGCCTACCAATACGCCCCCAACCAGCCAGCACCCCAAAGGCCTACAAGAGGCCCCCCCAAACCTCCCAGATGCACCCAAGAGCCATCCTCGAGGCCTCTGAGAGGCATCTCAATGGAGCCTCATTTTCATCCAAGGGGCTCCTGGCCCCCAGCCCAGGCACGCTGGCTGGTTGGGCCGAAAGGCCACTCGATATTTCCGACGATCGTCGCAAACTTTGACTCCTTCTGAGGGTCGGCGGAATGAGGAGAATCCTCCGCCTGCTGATCCCCCTCCGTCCTCCCCCCCTCTTCCCCCCTTCTCCCTCCTCTTCCCTCCTCTACTTCTCTCCATCTTCTTCCCTCCTTCTCCCTCGCTTCTGTTCCTGCTTCCTCCTCCTCCTCCTCCTCCTCCGTCTCCTCCTCCGTCTCCTCCTCCTGCTCATCTTCCCCATCAGTCACCTTCCATCCTCTTCGCTCCTTGGTGCCTGTGCCTTCTCCACCTCCTTCTCCTGCCCCCTCCTCGTCGTCCTCCAACATTATCCTTCTCATCCATCCAATCCTCAGTCATTCCCCCCTCCCTCTCTCCCACATCCGCCTCATCACTATCCTCTCCCTGCTCCCCTACTCGTCCTTATCCCTCCTTGCGTCCTCTCACCTCATTCTTACAATAATGCTCATCCCTCTCATCCTCCTCCTCTACCCTTCGCCCCCCCCCCCCCCCCTCTTCCGTCTCCTCCATTACCCCGTCCTTGTGTGTGAAGAGCTGAACCCCGTGGTCGAATTTCGTTAGCTTTGCTCCTGCATTGCTTGGGCTCCGCATGCTCTTGCGAATAACTATCCGAATTCCCGCTCCCATTCCAGGAGCTCAAACTGCGTTTTCGGTGAGGGTCCAAATATTCACACTGGCATGCCTGAGATGGCGCCCGCTGGGGTGTATAAGCCCTGCCCCCATCACCATGTCCACATCGGTATTGCCACTATATTTCTTGCCATGTTGGCCGGCTTTCCGTGGACTAGTTTTTCGGGGGACCAGGGGGACCACTTGGTTTTGTCAGTCGCTGCTCGCTGCTTGTGCATACGTGAGCGTGCTCGCTGCTTGTGCATACGTGAGCCTGCACGCTTGGTGCGCTCCTGGGCTTGTGTGTTGCCGATTGTCGTGCTCCTTCGACGCGTCCGACACACCCTTGCTCGTCCTTGTCGTGCCGTGCCCCTCTAGCACGGAAGGGGGCACACGGCCAGCAGCAGCACCGGCGGCAGCAGCAGCAGCAGAGCCAGTAGCAACACCTGCCGTGGCAGAAGCATCGGCCGCAGACACAGTTGCAGCAGAAGCAGCAACCGAGGCAGCAGCGAGTACAGCGAGAGCAGCAGGAGCAGGAGGGAGCAGCGAGGCCGAGAGGGGGGGAGGAAGGAGCGAGGCGCGGGAGCAGCGCGATGAGACCACGGGCCGAGGCCCCGTACAACGAGCGTGCTCCCGAGGGCCCGGCCGAGGGCCGCCGACTTGCCGCGCCCGCGCGCGGCGGTGAGGGCGACCGTGCGGTTCAGGGCCTCGGCCGGGGCGGGGTGCGCGGCTGCGGAGGGCGGCGCCCCGCCCCCCCCCCACCCCCGCATCCTCATCCTCGCTGGCTCTCTCGCTCGCCGTGCGACGAGCAGGCTGGCCGCGGCAGCCGAGGCACCAGCGGCATCGGCAGCGGTTCGCACGATCGCGGGCAGAGCCCAGCGGATCTGGTGCGCAAGCGCCCAGACAATGGCCAGGCAATGACCCCCGCGACTACCAACCGTACCATCTTCCATCTTCTCTCCTTCACTCCGCTGGCCTGCTTCTCTCCACTTCCCTCTGCTGCTTGCCCTCCCCGCCCTTCCCTGCCCTGCCTCCTCGCCTGACCCCTTTATCCCCTCTCAACCATCCCGTCTCCTCTCCCCTACCCCCCCTCCCCCTCCTCCATTTTGTTCTCAGCTAGTGCTTGCACTGAAGAAGTTCTAACGGATGTGCACGGGATGTTTCGACTACCCCAACAGCAGACGTGCTGCAGCGGATTTCTGCGTGGATTGCTGTCAATGCAAAACCCCAAAAAGGCGAGTGAAGAACGAAGCGGTTTTCGCGTGTTTTTTTAGTCTTCATCCCTGGCCCCAAAAAAGTCCGCACGAGATTTACCTCGAAATCTGGAACGGGATTCTCCAGGAAGCTCCGGGCCCATCCTCTCGTTTTCTGAACGGGATCCGCTCTGCGATTTCGGCGCCATGACCTTTAGGGCGTAGGTGGTCTAGGGAGGTTTCTCTTCCAACTCCCTTCTTCTTCTTCGCTGGGAAGAAATGTATCACTGACCCCTAGTCGTGTACACCCCATCCCCCACCGGGCCGGCGGCCAACCCGGAACCCTGACAACCCCATGAGGGCCACCCCCCCACCATCTCTGTCAACAAACAGTACAACACGCACTCTGCCTCCACATGTGGAGCATGCGCGGCCGCCCCGCATGCGGGGTGCCAGCAGATCCCACCTGCCTTCTGTGCGCAGGTGGTCGACCGACTGGTTTGGCAGAATCGTGGCTGCTGCCTTTTCGCCTCACCGTTTCCGATGGGCTTTCGAAACCTCCACGTAGCTCCAACATTGGCCAGGAAAGCTCAAATACAAGCCCAAGAGCCCACTATTGGTTTCCAGTGGCTGGATCACCTGGCGCGGCTGGAGCACGTAGAACACTGGGCGCACGTGGAGCACGTGCCGCACCTGGCCCGCCTGGCACGCCTGGGCCTCCAAGGTCTGGTGCATCTGGAACCCGTGGCGTCTGCGGCGTTCTCACGCGATATGCTGGCTCCCGGGTGTTACGTATGTGTTGGGAGGGCGGGCGGGAGTGAGCAAGACGGCTTGCGGGCGGGTGGGAAGCTTGACCCCTCCCCCTACCCCCGCCCCTGGACCTGGACGGGGCGCCCTGCGACGTGTTGGAGCGGCCAAGATGGCCCAAAACGGTTCCAAGAGGGCCTCAGAGAGCCCAAGATGACCTCCCAGATGACCCAAGATAGTCCAAGATCGCTCAGGATGGCTTCCAAGATGCTCCGAGAGGCCCCAAGACTGCCCCAAGACGGCTCCAAGATGCCTCCGAGACTCCCAAGGAGGCCCCCAAGAATCCAACATCCTTCAAAAACCAGAGGGAATCAATCATTTGTCCTTTCTCGCCTTTTTGCTTCCGATGGCCTTCCGAGGCCTCAAGTTGGCTCCAAGATGGCCCAAGAGGGCCCCGAGAGAGGCCCAAGAGAGCCCCAAGACGGCCCCAAGAGCGCCCAAGAGTGCTCCAAGAGCGCCCCAAAAGGAGATTTTAGGCGCCCTAAAGGCGATGCTAATTAAGTATCCCGGCCGTCGTTTGATCGATGTCTTCCAAGATGGCGCCAAGAGGCGCCCAGGAGGCGCCCAGGAGGCGCCAAGAGGCTCCAAGATTGCCCCAAGAGGCCCCTAAGAGGCCCCCAAGAAGCCCCAAAGAGGCCCCCAAGAGGACCCCACGAGGCCCCCAAGAGTCCCCCCCGAGGCACTCAAGACGCCCAATAACCCCCTGGACCGCCAAGGGACCCTACGACGCCCCAGGAGGCCTCAAAGAGGCGCCCAAGAGATATCCCAAGAGACTCCGAGAGGCGTCCAAGAGGCCCCTGGCCCTTTTGCTCGCCCTCCTCCTCCTTCCTCCTCCTTCCTCCTCCTCCTCCTCTTCCTCCTCCTCCTCCTTCTCCTCCTCATCCTTTTCACCATCCTTCTCCCTCTTCCCTCATCCATCCATCCATCCATCTATCCATCCTCCTCTTTCTCCTCCTCCTCCTCCTCCTCCTCCTCCTCCTCCTCCTCCTCCTCCTCCTCCTTCGGACGGTTCGACTGTCCCCCCCTTTGCTCCTACACTTCCCTGCTCACCTCAACCCGCCTGGGCGTCGTTTCTGGATAGGCTGGTGGGGATATTTTTTGGTACGCGGGCGCGCGAAACGGGTCGAACGCGGGGCAAGCCGGAGGAGCCTGTGCCACCAGCCAGGGGGAAAAAACAGAGTAGCGAGCAACGCCGGGAGCGGCTGGTGGGGATTTTTGGTCGCAACCGCAGGCGAAGGCGCCAGCGGCGAGTCGAGTCGGCTCGGGCTACGAGCGGGGCCGATTGCCGGCGCGCGCGCAGGCACCAGCAGACTGGTGGGAATACTGTTTGTCGGCAGCCGCAGGCGAGAGCGACAGCGGCGAGTCAGGGTCCGGGCGGGGCGCGCGAGGGCCTAATTAACCAGGATCAAGCCTAACACTGCCACTCAGAACGGGACCATGAGGAAGCCGAAGAGGGAAGCGGATTGCTGCACTGCCAGGGGTTGCACGCGTGCAACGAGCTGCAGAAGGGGCTGACTGTTGGTGGGAATAGTCAGCGGCCGCGGGCGAGCGCGCCAGCGGCGAGTCCAGTCAAAGCGGGGCACGCAACGACAAATTCACCTAAAGCAACGTAGGGCGGCCTCACCTAAAGCGGCTAAGCGGGGCCTCGCGCAGCACCTCAGCGGCGGACCGGCGAGTGGAGGGGGCAGCTGAAACTGAGTCGTGCTGCCAGCGTGCAGGTATGCGTGGCGTCGGAAGCACCAGGCAGTCGGGAAGAACCACGATCAGGGACAGAAGCCGAGTGATTAATGCAAGGGCGCGAACCCCGGACAACTGCGAGAGTACCAAGGTGGCCGCAGCCGGGAGGACCGACAGTCGGAGGGCGAATTGATGCCGGGGTGTTGGTGGGGATACTTTTTAGTCAGCGGCCGCGGGCGAACGCGCCGGCGGCGAGTCAGGTCAAAGCGGGCCACGCAGAGACTAATTAGGCAGAGGAAACGCGGGAAAAAAGACCAGAGCAACGCGCGAGGCGACAGCTAAGCGCCGGCCGAGGCCTCAGGTGGGTGGCTGAGGAGACTGAGTCTGCGGGGAACTGCCAGCGTGCAAAGCTGCAAGTCCGTCGGATGCGCCATACGTCGGACAGTCAACGACGGCCAGGGACAACTCACTGTTGGTGCGGATACGCTAAGCATCAAGAAGTTCGGGCTGATTTCGGTGGGCGCCTGGGGTCCCGTGTGCCTGGTTCCGGGTTCCAGGCAGATGTTGGTGGGCGGCAAGGTTTGCGATTCCGAGTCCGAGGTTCCAGGCACAGTAAGGTTCTGTGAGTGATCGAGTTCATGGTTGTGGCCACGTGTCCAGATTCTTGCAACCAAGGTCAGAATGGGAGGGTATGTAGTGGAGGGTAGAGCGGACAGATCAGAGAGTGGAGGGCAGAATGAAGCAGATAGGATTGTCGACGACGACCATGGTGATGGCGAAGAAGATGATGGTGACGAGAATGGTGGTAGCACCGATGACGCTGGCGATGCTGATGGCGACTGTACTGATGATGATGATGATGATGATGATGATGATGATGATGATGATGATGATGAGGATGATGCTGATGATGATGATACTGATGATGTTGATGATGATGATGCTGATGATGCTGATGCTGATGCTGATGATGCTGATGATGCTGCTGCTGATGACGATGATGATGAAGTGTCCGCGCGCAGAAATTTGAAGAGGACGACGACTTCAACAATGCTAATAGTGACACTGATCCCGACGATGGCGATTATACTGATGATGATGCTGACGATGACGATGATGATTATGATGACGATGATGATGATGGAGATGACAATGATGACGATGGCAATGCTGACGCTGACGATGATGTTAGCTTTTCTCCTGTTGAAGATGATTGGGAATTGCATGCCCACAAACATCACGTTACCGTGTCATGCTCTTTAGATGATTGGTGTTCGTGTTGAGCTGAAGTTGTGAGGCACCAGTGGTTTTGGACACATTTCGACGCACGCGCGCGGAGACGCGCCCGTGTGGCTCGCATGGTATTATCTGACAGAGCTGGCGGTCGCGAGATGATTGGTGAATGTTCTCGGCATTCGCGCGCAAGTGGCCCGCATGCTCTGATTCGACAGAATGGCTGAACACCTATCGTTTTCTTCGGATTGCAGCGAGTGCACGCGCGTAGACTTCTGGCAGTTGCTTTGATGACCGAGTGCCTTTTGATAGCTTTTGACTGGCCACGTTTTGAAACTATTCAACAGAAAACACATGTATTTTGAAGGATGTTGAACGTGCGCGCGGCGGCGCGTACATAGAGCCTGTAACGCATGTTCTGCAGACGGATGCTATACAAGCAAAGCACTTGTCAATTCAAAGAATGTGCACCGCACCATGACAAGGGGAGGGGTCGATGCCGGGTTGGCTGGGAGGGCACTCTTTGATCAAAAACGATGGACGGTCTTGCAACACAACTATGACATCAAACAAAAAAAGCAAACCACACGCGGAGGGGGGGCCCTAACCTCGGCCTGGGTGGGGGATCGAGCCTGATTTAATGTAGCAGAAAGAATCCGCTGACCCCCGCTTACTGGGGGTGCGGAGGCGTGTGGCATATTTTGCTGTCTCCCCTCCTTTTTTTCCCCTCCCCCAGGGTCCCAGATCCCGCTGACTTCGCCGCTGCGCAAGGTCGGCCAAAATGCAGGGCCTCCCGT